TAAAATTGTAATAACTAAATAACGTATTAATTATACGACTGAGACAATGGGAGGACCCTATAAAACAGTTTGTGTTAAATCACCCCCCGAAAGCTGTAAAGCACCAGTCACTTAATAAAAGATCTCTCCCGGGAAGTGAAGCAAACGGCTCAATAAGATAGACGATATCATCATCTCAGAGTAGAAAAAACCTCGTAAAATGTAGGAGGGGCAACATTAAATAAATTGCAGCCGCCTACCACCCGCGGTGACATCTGCTCCAGGTCGCTAAACGCTAACTACGTTCCAAAGGTTTCTTCGTTTGAAAGTAAACATTCCAAATTGGTTTCATCCTAAAAGACACAAAAAGGTTATGATAATATAATTACTCACATCGTTTTTCAATGAAAAGAATATTGAATTATTATTAGTAACAATATTGACAGTGTTTTTTACGGCGAAATGTTTTCCGCGAGTATAGCTAAATGATAAATTTGTTTCATCATCATCATCATCAACAGCCTATAAATGCCCACTGCTGAGCAAAGCCTTTTCTCACACGGAGAAGGTTAGAGCATTGCATGCTCAATGCGGGTCGGCGATTTCAAACTTATAATTAGAAATTATAAGTCCAGGTTTCCTCACGATGTTTTTCCTTCACCGTTTGTCAGTGGTGTCTAAATAATCATAGAAAGTACATATAACATATAACTCGTATGTAATACATATAACTCTGAAAAAGTCACATTGGTACTTGCCGTTGGTAGGTTTCGAACCCGCACCCTCATGCATGATAATTGGGCGTCTTAAACCTCCGGGCCACCACGACGAATTTGTTTAACGAAAAATAATTACTATAAAACCACAATAAAACTCAACCACGTCGCTATTTTTCAAAAGGAATTTCTAGAAAAGGGAGCCTTAGGCAGTAAAACGAGAGTAACTTTTTTTCAGTAGAATCTTAAATTAGTTCTAATTTCTAAATTTTCCTTCAAAGCATGGATTATGTTTAAGTAATATAAACTGGGGCATTTAAAAGCTTTTGTCATAATGATGCTGAGATTACTCAAAGTAATTGCGTTGCTATGAGATTGATAAGAATTAACATTTCTTAACCTCAAGACGTGCTCAAACACTGGTGATCCCGTGGTCACGTTTTGCCAGTGTAGAACAAACTCTACTTCGACAAATATTCTTTAATATACATTTCTGACAAAATTATATATTAAAATCTATTCCAGTATTATAGAATATCTTTATCATTCGTTCGCTTCCATTGGTACTCCAGTTCCAAATGACAAAGTTAAATTGCTCGTATGTCCTATAGTTTTAGGTACCTACTTACCTAATGTCAAGTTAAGAGAGCTTAACCACCAAACACGAAACAGCTACTATAAAAACAACAACGACTTAAATTGAAACCGCCAACAATACACAACAAGCTTATTTTCATTTTCTCTCCAAACTATTCCATTTTAACAGAAAAATAACGCAATATTTCTTTGAATAACAACGGGAGAAAACATTAAAATCACAACATGGCTTGGGGAACTAAAATGGGGCATCATTGGCAACGTGAACCAAGCGAGTTTCATAACTTTTATAACTTGTGTCTCAGTTGAGACGACGTCAAATGTCTACAGGGACACCGCGCTCAGCGTAATTATGTTAAATGGAACCGTTTATTGCTGACATTACTACTACAAACTTTGTATTCGTGTTTTATACCGGATCATTATGGGATCACGTATTCTAACCATCATTTATATTACCGTCATTAGCGCTGCATTTATTGTTCGTTCTTTGCCTTGGGTTTGGTGACAACTGTTACCTACAAGTTGGGTGACCATTATTATTATATTTTAACAATGTTTCACCATTTCTGTCTCTTGATCTACCCGATACCAGAACGCTACGCATGTTTGTATATAACTATCGTGAGACTAATGTCGAAATACTCAAACGCCACTAAATTTTTTGTCGCGCTTAAGTGTAGTTCTGTCACTACAAATCTTATATCTTATACTATTATGTAAAGCGGAAGAGTTTGTTTTTTTGTTTGTTTTGCCGAAAATTGTCTTACATTGCTTATGATTGAGCACGTCATTGTGTACCTCTACCTCCCCCCCCATGGACTTAGCCTAACGTGTGTTATGTAAAATGTATACTTATGTTATTACAAAATAATACTCTTACGGTTTAGATCTCCCAATTACGATAAGGAACGAGACAATATTTGTCAAGTATAGACATGAGGTATCAATTTACGCGGCGGCGTCGATTCGGCTTTGTTCTAATACATATTGTTATATGGACAATTAGCTTAGGTACCTATTGCTTTTGTGGTACTAATGACTGTCTAGACAAATGACCTGTCTAATGCTGACAGCATAAGACTATTATTAATAAAGGATTTTATGTAAGTGGTAACAAAGGTGATATTACTATGCATTGTACGAAATTTTGATTAGATTAACTACAAATTACGAGTTACTCACGTAAATATAATGAGAAAAACTCTCGCTCGCGGTCGCAGCAACCGTATACGCTGATAATGAGAAAGAGTCCCTCTGTGCCTTGAAATTAGTAGAGCTTTTCTTAGTTATATTTAAGTGTGTAACTCGTAATTTGTTGATAATTCAGTATTTCTCATAATAGTTATTATAAAAACAATTTTGATTGGGTTTTCTCGATTGGAAAATTCTCAGTAGGTAGCACGGAGTCTGGAATTGTGCCCGGTATATGGCAATAGGTTCACCCCCTATTACATGGGACTCATAACATAAATAGTGGGTCATTGTACAGTGGCATTAAGTGCTGTAATGTGCACCGCTACCTACCCCTTCGGGGATAAAGGGCGTGATGATGTTTGAGTGGGTTATCTTGTTTAAAAATTCTTGGTTTCTATTGTATGAAAGATCTCTATATATACCTTAATTTTAATTCCATAAATATTTAGCTGAAAATATAAAACCAATTTTTTAACGTTATTCCACACGAGCAAATCCATTTTGTGCCATAGCTGCATTTACAAACATTCTGATTTTACATGCACATCACATTCAAACGCAGACCTGGAGAAATCACACAAAAATTGTTGCTTAACCCCACAGAACTTATTATAAAAAAGGTTTACCTGTTCTATGCTTAGCCCAGTCATTGTGCTAAACGTGAAGTCAAAGATATACGAGGAATAATCATAAGTACTATATTATAAATATATAATTATGAGGAGGAATCACTTGCCATAATATGATAACTACCTAACTAAAAAGAAATTAACATTAAACATCAACAAGGAACTTCAAAGCAGTATAAACAACGGACAGAAAATTGAAGATGTTTCATTATATTTCACTTAAAAATACGTAATTTATTTAGTAGATATTAGACGCAGAGCTTTTAAAATAAAAATTATGACCTTATTAAGTTTAATTATGCCTCCAGCGGCTCACATTTCGTCCTTATTTACTGCTCTATTGCTCATTAATTGAGGTTAAAGGGTGATTCTACAGGAACTAAATGAAATTTAATTTTAAGCCTCTCACCAAAATAGATATTCTAAGGTTTATTAATCACATGCATATTTCATTGAGGATAAGGGTTAAATTACAATGTGATTTAAGGTATAGAAAACAATAGGTATACCCATTTTATAAATATAGCTATTTTGGTTTTGGTAAACTAATTTTAGGTGATAAGTGCTTGACTTTTCGGAAGCAATGGTGTGGATTGCGCCCTGTAGCATTAAAATGATTGCCTCCTCGCAACCCAGCCATCGCGAAGGACAGACCGGGCGTCAGGGATCGCGGGACGATCTCCGGCCACCGTAAGCGCGGGCCTGCGGACGGCGAGCATGGGTGGCTCCCCGTCCGACCAGAAACAGACCCGAGCGTACGGCGCGTCGCGTTCCGCGCGTGCCTCAAAGAGCCATCAGACCACCACAGATGGGGCCCAACAGGGCCGATACCGATTCGGAGTTGCGAAGAACCTAACGGGTAACCGGGGCTCCGGCTCGACGTGAAGGAGTAGGAACGGGGTGGTTTTTAGTCAGTAAGAGTCTGACACTCCCTCCCGCCTCACCCAGGCGGGAGCAGTCATTCGATGATTTTCCCCTCTTAAAAAAAAGCATTCAAATGATGTGTCAAAACCCTCCTTAGAATATGTCTTTCTTATCAAATGTGCTGCATATATGCACTAATGGGTATCAACAAATTAAACCTTCTATCACCTACAGTCAAATAATACAGCATTCTCAGTTTAAATTTTGTTGAAAATCCAACAAAATTGTCAGCAGCCATATCGCCGAGGAAACTAGAAAAATGAATTAACCGAAAATCATAACAGTAAAACGTTGTAATAGCGAGAAATAGGGTCGATCCAAATTGTAACACGATTTCAGACAGTGGGACGATATAATTGAATTTTATTATAGTCGTCTTTAACATTATTAGATTGTGGGTGTAGGGTTAGTCCACGAATGAATTGAGCTGATGTTGCTACAGAAAACTCTTCGGAAACGACCATTGAATATCAATTTCCACCTGTGACAATGTAATGGAATTTGTATTTTGGGTAAACAGTAACAAAGGGGGCTGGATACGGATACTGCATTATATTGGTCTGCGTTTGCGTGGTCGTTTCATTTATTATACTAACGTTTTATATTATGATTGTAATACTGCCTCATTCGCCGAGTGGTCGCGAGTGCGACTGCCGGGCAAGGGGTCTCGCGTTCAATTCTCGGGCAAAGTGAGTTCTTAAAAAAATCTCAGTCGGGAATTGTGCCCGGTATATGGGAATGTGCTCACCCCCTATTACATGGGACTCATAACATAAACAGTGAAAAGTGGGTGTTACATTGTACAGTGGCATAATGTGCACCTCTATGCCTATCTCTGCGGGGGCAAAAGGCGTGATGCAATATTATTAGTGTCAAGATTGACTTTCTTAGCAAGACAATTCTATGTTGCACTTTTATGTATTATCTAATATTTACAATATTTTTTTATGAATTTCAGTGAAGCGCAAGGAAGGAATGTGGGCAGGCGGTGCGCAGTGCGTGCATGCTTCGCTGCCCCGCGGCGCACGCGCTCAGCCTGCGCCCACGCTCAGCGGCGCCATCGCCAGCCGCCGCCCGCCCAGGTAACTATTATACAAACATAATGTTTTAAAAAAGTAATAAATAAAAATGGGTGCGGGTTTGAAACTTACCAATAGTAAGTATCAATGTGACTTTTTCCGAGTTACGTGTACTTTCTAAAATTATTTAGACACCACTAATAAACAGGGAAGGAAAACATAGTGAGGGAATCTAAGCTTATAATATCTAATTTAAAGTTTGAAATTGCCGACCCGCGTTGAGCAAGCACACAGAGGGGTTCTTCCTCATGAGCAGCGTGCGCGGTTGCGGCGTGGTTGCGGCAATGTCGCGCAGCCTACTGGCCAGCGTTAGTGCTCGCCTCGGTGTTGCTACTTGCGTATCTAGCCCAACTGGCAACTAGCCCAACTAGCTGCCGGAGTTGGAAGAAAACGCTCGTGGTGTCCGGCAAAAGGCGCGAGGAAGAACTGTGAAGCGTGGCGATTAATGCTCAAACCTCTTCTGTGAGAAGAGGCGTTTGGTCAGCAGTGACCACTTGTAGGCTGTTGATGTTGTTATTAATCAAGCATTTTCGTGGTAGACTCTTTAAGGCATACATCTCTATATCAGCCTGAGGTTAAGTTTCAAAATAAGGCTTCATCTCATCGTAACAAAATCTTTTACTAACAAAACTTTATCTTTCTTTGGAATGGAAATAATACCTTCCTTTTGATTCTAGAATAATTAGGTTATACTTGTTACACTGGCTCGTCTTTTGCATGACCCGGGGCTAGAATCTGTCCCGTTCTTTGAACTTTGATAACTAACTTTGAGAATTGTTAATAGAAATCTGCATATTGAAACAGCTAAGTGAAGAAAACTCCCGAGGCTTTCAATATGAAAAATTCAGAGAAATCGTAAATTATGAACACTAACTAAATTAAATATAGATACAGCTACCTAAGCTTAAGGTCTATTCGTGGACAGGACCGAGTTACATAAATTAATAAGTATTTTAATCCAATGTATGTACAAGACTGGTATTATTTGTATAATTATCTACACCTCTACCTATCCGTTTGGGGATAAAAAACAGAAACAGGCTACAAACAGAAACAGGCTACAAATACTCAGTCCAATATCATAATTTCAATAACCCAATTTCAATGTTGTTCATAAACAGTATATTTCCGTTTTATTTTCTTATTTGATTGTTGGCATTTCGAAATGTGTTTTAATTTAACTTTAATATCATTTTTCTTTTATTTGTCAATAAATATATTATACAATATATTTAATTAGGGCCAACTATAAAAACACGGTTGGATTGTTAAATATTCAGCACTAAAATCGCCAATGAAAAACGCATGTTCATTTTTCATGTATATATTTTGTAAAATATATTTTGTATATTACGTAAAATATACCTAATAGGTCATTATAACAGTGTACCGTATAATATAGCATTCTAAAGATTAAATTCGAAAATCTAGTGATCATCAGTTAAGGGAAATATGTGTAGCGTAGGCCAGCCTTTTGCTAGGTGAACCGACGATCGTCAGAATCATAGAGTAGTGCAAGTGGCGGTTTGTCGTTCGATATGATGAACTAAAGGCCTTTGTTCAGTAGTAGATGCCATGACCATAAAGCGAGTTATTGAGCATTCCCATAGATTTCTCCTCTATTGTGTTGACTAATAGCTTCTCAACTACAGAATCTATTGATCTTAACCGATAAATAAATACAAAGGCGTATTTAGACAAACACACTGCATAATAAAAACCGTATTATAATTATGTTACTTTTCTGTTCAAAACGATATGTCTCGGTACTTTTCAGACCATCTCCTCCATCACCGACTTTGGTGGCTCAAATCGACTCCTCAGTAGCGTGTCTTTGGTTGCTCACGCCGCTGTCAGCGGGCACCGCAGTCGTAGCAGTTTTGGTAGCAGTATCAACAAACAACTGGCTTCACACACAGGAGAATATGCTCAACCCTTCGTACAACGGCACGGGCAGACATGACCTAGTTGCCAAGCAAACCGTGTCCGGATTATGGAGGATATGCCACACAGATCGTAAGTTCCTTTTGTTTTTTGTCCATATTTTTGTATGTATTTGTATGTGATCTCATTTAAGGAAAACAAACGTTCTTTGTTGCGTAATTATTTCAAGCGTAACGGGTATATAATGGCTACTATGCTTTGTTACTAGTTTGTTTTTCTACTAAACCCGGTAGGTACTATATAGTCACCAATCAGTGTCGAGTATTTGAGACACATATACCTACATAAATAAAAACATAACCACGTTGATGTGAAAGAATATTATTTGTTACATAAACGTTTTCTTATTACGGCGACGATAAAATTCGCAATTTTCCTTCATAGCAGCGGTTTTTCCGGCATTTTCGTATTCAAAATCAGGTACTAAGCCTTGGGGATAAAAAGGTATCGGCTTGGAATATAGAACGAGGTACTGTTTAGTACAATAGGGCACGAAACTTCCGCGTGTGTCGTGGATCTACAATGCGTTCTGGTTCCGCCGTGGCACGCGGGAAATGCATTGTCCTACCGTCCGAGTCGGCCCACTTTCATTCCATTACAAAGTCCGTTGATGCGTCCGTAACTGTGGGACACCATTTGTGACTAGTCCATTTCCCTGATTTAATAACATGTCTGTGTTATTCTAATAGCTGTTCTTCGTTATAGGTATATTATTGAGTGAATTAGTATTTTTAAATAGAATAAAATAATGAAATATGGCAATAGGCTCACCCAATATTACATGGGACTCATAACATAATTAGCGAAAAGTGGGTGTTACTTCTGTGTGCAACTCTGCCTACCATAGGGGAGAGTGGTAGGCATAGTTATGTTATGTAAAATAATGAATATTAAACGAACACCGCGTTGACTCAAAATTAATCAGATCAGATGATAGGCCCGATATACTTTCTAATGGTGAAAGAATTTTAAAATTTGCTACTGAATTTATTTCAACTCATACCAGATACAATCTAATCATTCCTGTTTGTAAAAATAGTATTGATACATTATTCACCTGCATGTTTAAAAAGTTTTATATTAATTTTGTATTTTTAACCCATTTCAGCTGGTAGTACTGTGTTCCGGTGTTTAGACATCCCATATTTTCCACTATCACAATGGCAGCCCGACCCGAGCGATTCAACAAACGCAATACCATGTAAGTTACATTTTGCTATGTGAAACATATTTCATATTATAAAAGTGTTTCTTTTGTAAACACGTGGCTATATATTAAGACTTCTCTTGTATCCTAGTCACGGTTACAAACTAAAATCTTTGGTTTAACAGGTACAGTTAAATTATTACGACCTAATTTTGTAGTTTGACACATGTTGTACACACTTTATAAGCAAAAACTGATAAGATGTTTCACTCCTTACTGGTTTGCATGAGTTAGCAAGTAAGAAAATTATTTGCTCATTTATAGAAAACTAGCTTTTACCCGCGGCTTCGCTCGCGTCACAAAAGGATAAAAAGCCAATGTGACATATACCACTACACACAGCGCCATCTATACCAATACTTTTGTTTTCACTCGGGAATATCAATTTTTCCGGGATAAAAAGTACCCTATTATTTAATCCAGACTTCTAACTTTACGTCTGCAAATTTTCAAAGCAATCGGTTTAGTAGTTACGCCGTGAAAGCGAAACAAACAAACAAGCAAACTCACTTTCCGATTTATAATATAAGTAAGGAAGTAAGGATAGATAGGTCACACCCACAGAACATATAAAGAAGGTTTATATGATCTGTGGTCACACCTGTGTAGAGGGCAGGTAGGAACAAAGCAACGCCAAAAGACACGATTCCGACAAAAGTCTTTTGCTTCTCGATTCATCATTCATCTCTATATGCATCCTCGTGGATTGATACCCTTTTCTTTACAATGATACTAAACCTAAAAAAACATTTACTTAATTTTTTTTTTAAATAACTGAAGAACACGCTATTAAAAATATCTCCATATTTTACAGATGTGGTGACACGGTCTGCAGCCCCACTCCTCCTCGCCGTGTTCACTCAAGCTGTGGGGCTCTGTGTTGCGTCTTGGGGCACTGCGTCAAAGGGCGACGATTATGCACGTTCATTGCTGGAGTCCTGTTTATAATTTCTGGTGAGTTACAAGTTGCAATTCGCGCAATGTGTATTATTATCTCATTATTTTGCTTAGTAACTATTAACTGAATTGCTTGTCCTATTCTTACTTTAACTCCTACACAATAATAAGAAATAATGACTTAATAGATATATTTTAATGCGCGAATTTATCTCCACTACAACAAAATCTTGCCACATTATGTGTCAGGAACTATAGTCCCATAATGTATCCATTACTGCCTCGTTGTCCGAGTGGTCGCAAGTGCGACTACCGGGCAAGGGGTCTCGGGTTCGATTCCTGAGTCGGGCAAAGTATTACTGGGTTTGTAAAAACCTCAGTAGTAGAAATGTGCCCGGTATATGGCAATAGGCTCACCCCCTATTACATGGGACTCATAACATAAATAGTTTAAGTGGGTGTTACATTGTACAGTGGCATAATGTACACCTCTGTCTATCTCTTCGGAGATAAAATGCGTGATGTTATGTATACATTAATTCATTTTCATATTACATGCCCCATTAATTGAGTTTTCACAATGACAAAAGTCAGCTAAACACTTATTTGATTCAGTCCCCGGATCTCGCAAAGTAATATTAGATTGTTCGAAATAGCATACAGTTCAGTAATAGCATAGAGTCTGAAATTTTGCCCGGTGGACAACAAATAGCTCGTTCTATATTACTTACATGGCTGATAACTGATAAGTGATGTGACGTTTGCAACAAATGGACTTTATTATGTTTAACAAATGTTTTGATAGTTGTTATTATTATCTGTTTAGAGACCCTAATTATCTTTAAATGCACTTGATTTTGTTGATAAATAATTACATATTTCAATATTTCTTCTTTCAGGTTTAATAATGCTGACCGGAATCGTCATGTACATATCTGTATTTAAATCACAAGTGGGCCACAAGTTGCGCTATATGACATATTTTGATACACCACGAATGTCATATAGTTACGGCTATTCGTTTGGACTATACATAAGCGGCTTTGTAGCAGCAGAGCTAGCTGGCACATCAGCTATTTTCCTATTCTTACAATGGTACCAAAAGGATTGGATAACAGAGCTTACCGAGAAAGCCAAAGCTGACTGTAGAGCGTGGGATCGCGAATACGCCTTCACAGAGTTTAGAGAGCGAGACTCCACGCTATTAGAAAGGCGAATGATGAAAAGGGACACGTATCCCCCTTCAGGGTCATCAGCTGCAACGCCCCGTGAGCGTCGACGTTTCGTGTTCGACGGGGACGAAATGCCGCACTGTTCAATACATAATAAAAATAGGAGAATAAATTTAAGTTCAGCATCACTGAAAGATTTGTCGTCGTCAACGCTGTACGGGTTCCCGGCGGCGCCACGACCGACAGCCTGTGACAATTACTTTGAGGAATTCAAGGAAGTACCTCAAAGTGCGAATACCTTAAGCGGGTTGAGGAGTGCATCAATATTTCAGTCACAGGCGTCGGTGGCGAGCGGCCGCTTCTTGGACACTTCGGCTGTGGAGCCTCCGCCTTCGCGAGAGGAGGAGATGGTGACGTTCGGTGCTGGCGCGAGAGGTGGCGAGGAACAAGCGCCGCCACGGCACGACCGCGCTGTAGGCACCGACCCCTACCGTCGAACCACACCCGTCTGATCCAAGAACTTGGGTTTTCCACCCTGAATATAAAGCATATCGAGAAGTGATAAGTGACGATTTTAATCACGTGCTATGTACTAAATAGTTAGAGTTCGTACTTAGCCGGATACAGTTAAGAAGTGTCTTTCGAATTTATGAACGTATATAGGTGCATACGTGAATTGTGTTATGAAATTTTTAATTGTTATAATTCCTTAAAAATAAACACTGCCATTTGTCTATTTTTTATTTGTTTATTAGATTAATGATAACCCAATTTGCCAGTGACTAGATTACCCCTAGGAAACGTAAGGATAGATTACCCCTAGGAAAGTAATTGTTGGTGCCTAATCTTCAGGGTTATTACATATCTTTGGCTTTAAATTGTGTTAATCAGGGTGCTTACTCTTGAAACCAATCTCAATGTCAATGCAATTTCAATATAATAAAATCTCAATAATGATTTAATGTCAAAACTATACAACCACAATCGTAGCTGTTAAAATAGCATTCAGAGTACGGAATGTAAAGGAAAACTCAATACCATTTAGTTCATTCAATATCCACGCAATACGGATGCAATGGGCGCTAGTGTTGCAACTCGAGAGTACGAAATTTTATAATACCAATGTCGATCGGAATTGGATTCAAGAGTAACCCTCCAAATGCCTGCACAATTCTTTTCAAAGTGTTCAGGGATGGGCACCCGCGTAACCCTACGCGGTACCACGAGCGGAGCTTACCCGGATATTTCAAACTAGTATTTGGAATTCATAAGTACACAATGCCACACGATGTTTTTATTCACAGTTTATCTTTGATGTCTAAATAATCTTAAGAAGTATCACAATAACCCTGAAAAAGTTCCATTAGTAGTTGCCAGGTTTTAAACATATTTTAGAAGCTTGAGTAGCTTTAGGGCAACACGACATTTCTTTCGCTTTAATGATTTGGTAACTATTTAATTTAAAAGTATGACTTTAAGTCATATTTTTAAATTAAAATCAATAGTTAGGTAAATTCTTAACTCTGTGCTATTTATTTTTTGTCTATTTAATTTTATCCATCAAAGATAATAGATATCTAGTATAATAAATAATAGATTTTACTAAGTTAACATTATATGGATTAGTTTTTTTACATTTATGTCCATTAAAAACTTAAACCAACAAATCTCCTTGAGAAAATGATACTGTCCACTTCAATAATGCATGAATGTGTTTCTTTTGTTTTTCGAAACATTTGCAAACATTTCGGTGAAGTGCTATGGCTATGACAGGTCAAAAAGCCAAATGTTGTGACTGGAATTTGTAAAGAAAATAATATAAATTACGATGGCTCCGTAAGTAATTATTATTTTAAGTTATTGTAGACATACTAATTATCAAATAGCATACGTTTTAGTGCCAAATAGTAGGACTCCAGGGTAGGGATTTAACATGAATCGTCGTCTATCGGAAGACGTCCCTCAATATGGGCAGTTAAGTAATCAGTTGAGTTCCAGACCGGCCCTCGCATTGCAATCGCGCGCCAATCTATAAGTAAAGATCGCGAGTGCAACCCGCTGCGGCTGTGTGACCGCGGTCGCGCAAGCCGGTGTAGCGGGAGCCGGTGTATACGTCGCCGGGCTTAAAATGCATCATAAAATGTGCTTTAATTTTTTACATACCTACCTATATGTATTCTACAAAAGCCGCGGGTCCGTGATTGAGTGCGATAGAAAATCGCAGCGTCCTTAGCCTAACAGTCGCGTTTTACTTACATTTTATTTTATCCATTATAAAGACAACATTATTTATTTGTTACTGCAAAATCCACCCAATTGTGAATAAAATGAAGCTAAAACTAATCGTCATATTTTTATATCCACAGAAAAACGCCACCTCCCGCCGGGTAAGTATATAACTTTCTGAATCTGAGTAATTTGTAACAATCGTGTTAATTGTAATTCATTATGAGGCAATTGGACAATCCACACCGTTGGCATAAAAGCGACTACCGATTATTTTCTTGCTAACCAAAAAAATTAGACCATTAAGGCGCTGATTATGATGTTAGTTACTGTGGTGATATGACAATACGGTGACAACAGTTCAAAGTCAAAGCATTTATTTCAATGAAACCATAATTTGGTACTTTTAAAAACGTCAATAAATACAAAATAAATAATAATCTGTCAGTCAGTCCGTCGTGAAGCTAGGTGAAGCTAGGTGGTCATTCTAAAATGTAGATTCGAATGGAGAAGAACGAGCAAGAAACTACATTCAGTTGAGGTGACAGGCAGCATCAGAGTGAAGTAAACATCAGCCGACCCGTACAATGCGCATAACTATGGGAAACTTAAAGTTCATTACAAAAATGAGTACGATTTGTGACTCATGAGATGACTGTAACATTGTCACAAAAAACAATACAGATGGTGGACAACACAATATACATTTATAGTGTTGTAAGGGCGTCGATTACTAGTAAGTAAAGCCGTTTCAAATGAACCGGCCAATCAGAGCACTGAACGCTTACTTGATTTGATTATTTTATACATAAAACAAACTCATACAGCCGTCTGGTTTTTATTTGTCTATTCTTCCAAATGTTTATTATGTAGGTATGTATTCTGATTGTACATTGTATGTATGTAAACTTCAAGGTTGACTGGAAGAGAATGCCATATGGCAGTAATGTCCGCCTTATGTACCATTACTTGTTTCTGTGGCGTACATTTAAGTATAAAAATTTTTACAACTAAATTTTGAATGTTTTTTTTCTTCTCTTTATAAATCTTCTGATTTACTTCGTTGCGGGAACCAAGACAGTTATTCATGTCCCTGGGACGCCCCGGACTTCAGTGTTCCGATGTTTTCATGGTTGTATCTACTGTAGATCCTGGCTTACAGGAATTGCAGCGGTATTGGGAGGATGTGGCGGGTTAGTACAATTAAAAAAAAAAAATTTGAAGAGGATTTTTGAAATGTTCAACCGATTAAGCTGAAATTTTGTAGTCACCTTAGTTAGTATTTTACAGACCATGATTACTAAATATAAAAGATTTTTTCTTTTTCAGGGTTGGGGAAACTATAAAAAAGTAAGTTTTTCCGTTGATTGAACCACATAATTACTAGTCGAGTATCGCCTACATTGTGACTCCACTATGATTTTTTTTATTAAGTATATTCCGATGTTTTTATGGGGTAAGGCAGTAAGCCTACTGTCGGATCACTTGATGGTAAGCAATCGGCGCCACCTATATACACCCAAAATACAAAAGGCGTTACAAGTGCGTTACCGTTAAAAAAAAAAGTGCGTTACCGGCCTTTTGGGGAATAGGAATATAAGGATTGATGGAGATTCGACGATTGGAGGGTAATTGGGAAATATCTAAAATATCACAAATATATTTGTAGCTTACTTTGTTGCTGTCTTGCTTACTACATTTTACAATTAATCAATAAGTAAAGTAAGTAAGTAAGTTACACAAGACAATTGACAAAGTCAATTTGGAAAAATACACATGTTTATAAATATTATTTGCCCAATATTATATACCCAATGAAACAAAAAATAAATTATTACTAAAATATTATCTAAGTATTCATATTTTCTTTAAAATACAACCTACATAAAAGGAATGACAGCCTACCATGCTTCACAATCACATAATGATATCACTATACCCATCACAATTAATTAAAATTATGTTTTTTTATTTTTCAGCCTGTTCACGAGTCCATTGTAAGTATTTTATAGAATTATTTTATTTGTTATCAAATTAGCACTCCTTAGTATTAAAAAAATTAAAGTACAGACTGGTGGATATGGTTGAAAGGAATTATTTTTATCAATAATTATAGATCTCCGAAGTGTGCTTAGACTATTTGTCTAGCTTTTTATGAGAAACTAATCAGACATTCACATTTACAGGGTGGAATATTGTAATGCCACACGAAGAGGAAGTACTCAATATAGAAAATTTTACTCAAGGAAAACATTCCTTTATCTTTGAAACAAAAAAAACTGCATTCAAAGATTTTTAAAATTAGTTCGCCGCACACGGTATTCGAACCGACTAAAATCTGTAAAAGTTGCACCCTGTACATTTATTGCATCGATCGTTCATAGTCATTAAATTTAAGAGTACCCCCTTCAAGGTGGCATTACAAAATTCCACCTGTATATCGAAGATTACATCGAAGTTTCGTAATAAGATTTTATTTGGTAGTTTGGTTTACTACAAGTCGATATAACTGTAAGTACTCTTATTAATAAATTACAGCAAAAAGAAGCCTCCACCAAAAACACCAGTAGGAGGAATGGGGGAGAGAATTTCCAACGCGATAAATAACAATTACAGAGGGTTAATCGGTGTCATAGTACCGGTAGCCGCATTGCATGGCAAGTTGAAAAAGAGAATGTGAGTATGAGTTTTTATCAAATTCGAAAATAAAACAAGGAGGCGGATCACCTGATGGTAAGCAACCTACAACACCAATGGTGTTACAGGTAAATTGTCCGCCTTTCCGAAAGGAGATTGTTCAAAACCACTACTAAATGTAAATGTGCTTACTAAAGACACAGAGCACACTCGATTTTTGAAACGGAAAATTTATTATTGATTTATTTAAGCTTTATGCACACTAACAAGCACATGGGTGGACTTAATGCCGCAAGCATTTTCTACCAGTCTGACTCTTGGGTGATGCAGAGAAAGTAATCAGCGGGTGCAAGAATTATTATTATATGGGATTTATGATCTCTTAAAGGTCTCATCAACACGGAGAATATCATCACGCTTGCTCAAGGCAAATGAGCAATTTTAAACTTATAATTTGAAATTCAAAGTCCGAGTCCTACTCCGGTTCTCGAATGCGATGTTTCGTTTGATTTGCGGGCACAAACAACGTTTTTGGAACCATATACAACTTTCGTGAACTACAATGAACAAACGGAATGAAGATAAATATTTAGATTTGAAATTAAATTTACAGTTATTCTAGGCTAAGCACACATATTCGAAAATCATGAAAAAGCATTTAAAATTAATGTTTAGGATGCAAAATCTTGAACAGAATAAGAATCTACTTTCAAAGATTTACTATACGACTAAGTAAAAAGTTTTAGAATGTTAGCATTGTCATTTATTGGCATTTACTTATAAAATAATAACAACCAAATTCATTCGTATTATATTAGTACAGTCAGAGTAAAAATTATAAAGGTATATGAGAAATTGAAGAAATGAATTTATTTTGTGTTATGATGATTAACAATATATTTTTGAAAGCATTTATCTTATCTATAAATATTTTTAACAGTACATCTCATACTAATTTCTGGCTTGTTTCATTCCTTTTTTGTTCTTAAGAAACGCCATTGTGGTAGATAATCTTCGAGTTTTGAACGAAACTTAGTTTTTCGTCGAATCAGAGTTGACATACAGGTTTCTTGAGGTTTCCTTTATTGTATATTCGAGCTGTTTAAATATACTAATAAAGTATGTACATATAACTTGGATAAAGGCCTAGTCTTACCTGGTTTTGAACTTATACAGGCAAGCAATACTTTACAATGGTACTGTGCACAACGTAGGAATTCTACTTTATGCTCGAAAAAAAAACTAAAATGAACAAACAGAATGAAGATAAATAAATAGGCAATAGATTTAGATTTGAAATTAATTTTACAGTTATTTTAGGCTTAGTACACATATTCGAAAATCATGAATAAGCATTTAGAATTAATGTTTAGGATGCAAAAACTTGAATAGTTTAAGAACCTACTTTCAAAGAATTATTATACGACAAAGTTAAAAAGTTTTAGAATGTTGGCATTGTCATTTATTGAAATTAAAAAAAAACAAGGAACAATTGGGAGTTTTTCAATCGTATCTTTACACCCTACTTCTGTTTGAAAGTCATTGGGAATAATATTTTTGTTTTTCTTTCAGAATGCAAAAAAAGTGATGATTATGTGGTTAACGATGACTTGGTTCTTCTTAACCCAACCGGTTGCAATCCCGGTTACCGGATTGATTCCAGTATTTGTTCTACCGATGGCCGGAGTTATGCCAACTGTTAAGACTTGTAGTTGTTATTTGACCGTAAGTTTTTAAAAAATCTTTTATTTTGTCTTCGATCAATTTACAAAAAAAATACAGATTTAAAAGACTTCAGTATTTGGGCATAATGCAAAGCCAAAGCCTTATAATTTAACTGCACAGCTAAAAAGAAAGGTGTGTAACCTGCATAAGGTCTATAATTATCCACAACGCTTCATTTGACGAATACATGCTTCCTATAAGTGACAATAGGTGGCTTATAATTGCCGCTTCGAGGACAGTTTACATTCTAAGCAAGGTGCAAGCATTGTCATTTGTCATTTCATGCATTTTGTATAATAAAGCATCGTTTGAAAGTCAAAATCATTTATTTCAATTAGACCAGGAAAGTTGTTTGAAAGTCAATAAAAATTTAAAGTGGAGCTATTTGCTCATTGCAAGATGTAGATTCCTATGGAGAAAAACGAGCAAGAAACTCCATAGGTTACTTTATTTCAATCAGGTTCACAATATCATCGTTATAATTTTAACATAGCAAATTTTGAGCGATAAGTATCAATAGTATAATAATAGTATGATGTACTTAGTAAAATTAAGATTTTGATGTAAGCATCATCCAAACCCTTTTTAGCAAAGGATGATGCACAAAAATGTATGGGCAGCGCACCCATGTCCGCCACAGCTCAGACTACTTCTTTATGGAAGCTATAGCCATGGTTCACTAGGTTTAACTGCATTAAATATTTTCACGGGATTTCTATTAAATAAATAAAATATGACATATTTTACTTTATGTTACTAAGTTCATTTTTTGTTCTAGACAATAAAAATAAATTTATTTATCAACATAATCAATTAATATTAAGTCTAAGAATCTACCCGCTCCGCTTCCTCCTTAGCTAGGATGATCGGTTTGCAGGAAGATGAGTAAGCTGTGGAGGAGCTGGGTGTATTTTGCCCACTATCCATTTATATCGCCGTTCGCACTCATTTGATGCGATGACAGTTATGCTTATGTAGCTTTTGTAACGAACAACTGCCCACTGCTGAGCAAAGCCTCTTCTCACACAGAGAAGGTTTGAGCATTAATCACCACGCTTGCTCAATGCGGGTTGTCGATTACAAACTTATTAGAAATTATAAGCCCAGGTTTCCTCACGATGTTGTCCTTCACCGTCTGTCAGTGATGTCTGAATAATCTTAGAAAGTACATATAACTCGGAAAAAGTCACATTGGTACTTGCCGTTTTACTTTCGAACCCGCGCCCTCATGCATGAGAAGCGGGCGTGTTAAACCTTCGGGCCACCACGACATTAAACGTACTTAAGACATGGTAATCGGGTTTCGAATAAAACTCTATGGTTTGCTATCCGTCCCCTAGTACGACTACATTTTTCTCTATATTTAATAGGCTGACGCTTGACCACTATCTCACCTTGTGGTTACTTGTTCAACATGTAATGAATCACTGTTTTTTTTAGGAATATGTGATGCTACTTGTAATATCTTCGATGATAGTAGTGCTGCTTAATAATTCTGGCGTCGATCGACGTATATGTCTGAGGCTTGTGTGCTCCGGCGACGCCTGTCAATATTCTGGAAAAAGGTATGAAGTCATATTTACTCAATGTTTTTCCATTGAGACGTCAAATGCGTCCTAAACAGTATCTAGATTAGATATACATTCGCAATATCAGAAGAGTTGCAAGTACATTATTCACACGGCGTAACTTAATATTATATTTTACACTAGTATTCTGTGAAGAGGTTAATCGGGATGACTGCCTCGTTGGCCGAGTGTTCGAAAGTGCGACTGCCGGGAAAGGGATCTCAGGTTCGATTCCCGGGTCAAGAAAAGTATTATTAGGTTGTTTCAAAAAAATTCAGTAGTAGCACGGAGTTTGGAATTGTGTCTCACCTCTTATTACATGGGACTCATAACGTAAATAGTGAAAAGTGGGTGTTACATTGTACAATGGCATTAAGTGCCGTAATGTGCATCTCTGCTTACCCCTTCTGAGATTAAAGACGTGATGTTATGTTATGTTATTCTGTGCGTAGTCTCACCCTGGTCGAAACGACTCATTGGTAATGAAGTATGGCTCTTGCACGAGTGAATATTGTGTATCTATTTGTTTTCAGATTGGTTTTTAAAACTAGTGTAGCTGCTTATTTCCTATCGATGTTCAGTAGCCGACTCATAGTTACATCTACTTTGACCCAACTTGTAACGAATGCCGTGACAAAATTGGATGTGAGTATTAAAAGTATTTCTTTAATAAATGTCGAGCATAATTATTAACCGACTATTTAAAAAAAAAAATGTAATATCATACTTACACAAAGAACAGTGTCTGACTCTGTGCAATTGTTTAAAAAAGTTAACGAATATTTCCATTCTAGCATTTATGTGCGGTTTTTTTGAAATTCGTCGACAATATTTTGCTATAGTTTTTTTACAAAGGTGGAAGTTACTATAATCTTCACAATTTATTTTCCAGGCTAGTCCAAAGGACCCGGATCTTGACCCCAATTACATTACCATGCGAAACATAATAAACAATGCAATTCAAACAGCCTCATCAATAGGTAAGTTTACTGAATGACACATTTCATTCACGGAAGTTTACTGAATGATACATTTCATTCACGTACTAAATTTGGAGAATGCAAAAGAACCTAGAGTCGTTTACAATCAAATCAAATCACTTTTATTTGTTAACATAGGTGCATACAGATATAGGTCTTATAAATGGTAAATCTAGGAGATTTCCTCAAGGGACAGCCATGAAATCTGTTAATCTAAACGTATAAAAGAAAGAGGACGTAAGCGCATACGCTTATGCACACATAAGGCGCTGCTCAAAGACAGTATGCCTTAAAAAATTTCAAGTATATATTTTATTAGTGTGGTTAACGCATAAACAGGATTTCAATACTTAAAATCCATTGAGGCTCATCAGTCTTTTCATTTTTAATTTCAGGCAGCACTGCATTTTTTCATACCGCAATGGTGACTATCCTCTTTAGGGGGGCCTTTGTAGAGTAAGTATATTTATATTAAGGAGCCACACTGCAGTTATATACCGCCATACATACCACATTGTGTTGTTACACAATGTGGTAACTATGTAACAAACTCTAGGTATGAGATATATCAAGTTACTACCATAACTTTTGTTATAATTCGTTTAAAAACAATTTTTAAATCATTCTCTAACGTTATATAACTGTTGTGTGGGAGCTTTTTTTAATTAAATAAATTTTGCCCTCACACTAGGATCTTCTCCTAAGTCGTGGGTGCGTTTACAAGCATACAATTGGGTAGTTTCCAGTTCCAGGGTACAAATCTAATTAGTCCGTCAGTTAGATAATGAAAAAATATTAGACACGTATTTTTTTTATTTTCTCGTATTGAGTTGCGATACTTAGATAAAATGGCGCTAAGTTTAGGAGTGGGAGGTCGTTACGTCATAACGTGTTACAAAATGTGGCACGCTGTGACGTCACACAATATTTTAAATTAATATATCGTCGAAAGTATTTAATTTTGTGAGGAAAGAAAAAATACGTGTCTAAAGTTTTAAATTAATGTACCAGACGGACATTAAAATAAAATTTAGGAAACCATCCTATTTTAGATACACATGACACCAAGACCCAGAACAACAATTTATGAATCACACAATCAGTTGCTCCGTACAAACATTAATAAATTATTAATTTATTCACAGATTCGCTCCTGCTGATAAAGAATATCCAGATATATTTAACTACCTTCAATATTCAGCTTTTGCTTTTCCATTATCTTTCGTAATGTTCCTTCTGAATGTTAGTTACCATATGATACTTATGGACTGGTAAGTTTTATGAGATACATTTTTTTTAAATTAATTAACTGATAAATAATGATGTCATATAATATATATTTCAGTTTATTATAGACCATTTACTTTAAATGTAGGATATTGTGCAACATTTATTATCACTACTCACGTTGGCCGAGCGGGTCGCAAGTGCGACTGCCAGGCAACGGGTCTCATCGGGTTGGGCAAAGTATTATTGGGTTTTCAACAAAACGTCATTAGTGGTATCTCGGTATATGGCATAGGCTCATAACATAAATAGTGAAGTGGGTGTTATATTGTAATGTTGCATTAATCTGTCAAACACCAAGCGGTCACCGGTGACCGCGACCTATTGTTCTTTAATTGTGTCTATAAAACCGGTACTCGACGAGTTAAGTGCGTAATATACACCTCTGCCTACCCATTCGGGATAAAAGGCGTGATGTTATCATCATCATCATCATCACCAGCTTACAAATGCCCACTGCTGAGCGAAGCCTCTTCTCACACGGAGACGGTTTGAGCATTAATCACCATTCTTACTCAATACAGGTTGGCGAATTCACACTTATAATTAGAAATTATACGCCCAGGTTTCCTAACGATGTTTTCCTTCACCGTTTGTCAGCGGTTTCTAGATAATCGTTGAAAGTATATATAACTCGAAAAAGTCACTTTGGTACTTGCGGTGGGTAGGTTTCGAACCCGCACTCTCATGCATGAGAAGCGGGCGTCTTAAACCCCCGGGCCACCACGACATTGCGACATTTAATTTACATATATATTTAACTGAAATAGGGCTTTGGGAAAAAATATGCCTGCAGAAAAGATGGTAGAATTAAGATCCATTTTTCTGAAGAGTCGAAAGGAAATACCTCGCAGAATCAGCTTGCATGAGAGGGTAAGAAGATTTAATATAACTTTTCCTCGTAACTTCGCGTGCAATAGTAACTTCTGGCAGAAAATGGATGTCTTTTTCCAAGATACATAATAATAATATTCTACGGCTGTAGCAAATGCCATCACACACCTATGTTATATTTCTTATGTAATATTTATTCCGTAGTTTAAAACACTTAATAATCCCACAGAGGAACGAATTCGAAGTACTATTTTATTTTCACATTTTTTTATTGGTTACCTGCCGAAGTAACCACCACCCCGAATGTCATGGTCCCTGATCATTCTTGGTCCAGGAACACTGAACCCAAGAATCTTAGGAGATAGGCATTAGACGCGAAAAAAAATTCAGATTTTATAAACAACGCGTGTCTGGGCGTCGCAGGTTCTTGCTCTATAAAATTACATTTTCTTAATTTTTCTCATTGATATCTGGTAACATTTTTTGTAAAATTTAATTACTAATAAAATAAATTAACTACTTTTCCAATTGGTCGGAAATTTTAAACAAAAATACCCTGTACACAAAATTATAATAGTAAATTTACGCTACCCTTTCAATCAGGCGCATGATACCACCAGAAGAGACGTATTCCGTGGCTTTCTCCTTTACTGCCATTCTCATTATTTAGTTTTTACTCTTGTCACTACGTGGCGTTAATGTCTATGATCGAGTGTCCTTGTCTTATTGTATTATTTAATGGTATTCGTATTATTTAATTGGTTGTAGTCACTTTTCTTTTTTTATACTATAATATGCAATAATATTAAATTGAAAATTTTGAATTAAAGTTTTACTTAAAATATCGATATTGTACTAACGATGACTCAATGTCCACCACTAATTTTATCGATATGCCCATTGCCGATAAATAGTATGATATTCACAGGTACTGAATGTCTACTGCGTTGGTACTACTAAACTACAGAACTTCTCACTCGTGATTTTACTGATAGCTTGTTACTGTCAAACCCGATTTTTAAATACAACGCTATTTATCTATTTAGTTCCAATTTTTTCTAAACGATTTTGTCAAATTTGAAATGACTACTGATTACTAGAATTCATCACTGAAATTATCGATTCTCAAATAAAGCTATAGTGAACTCATCTAATTCTGTGACTCGCCTAATAATTCGGTTTAGTAAATTTGGTAGAACTCTTAGGTTTCTAGAAAAAAATCTGATTATTTGTGCTAATATTCCTCACAAAAGACTGATTAAAACTCATGCGGAGACTGAATTAAATTAATTAATAATTTATTGGTATTTTATTACTCAAATCCCTTTGTCACGAAGTTAGATGAGTCCACCCTAGTAGTCATGGTAAGTTTTATAGGCTAAATTGTTTAAGCAGATCGACATAGTAGACGGATACGTTAGAATATACATAACGAATACGAATAGATAACTTTGTGACAAGAGGCCTTAAGTTACGAGTACGCGTTCGGCGCTGTGATTGGCCGGCTCTAATAAACCAACCAATCAGAGCACAGAACGCCATCTCGTTTCGATTACTTTAAACGAAAAAAAAACTCGTACTAAGGCCTAAGGTATCGAATTATATAAATACTTTTCAGCTTTCAGTAATATTTCTAATTATCATCGTGATTACTTTCTTCTTTCGTTGGAATCAATGGATAGATGGATGGGCTGAATTCAGAAGAGATAAAGACTCTCCGGAAATTCCAAGGTAATTTACATCTATTTTAATGACTGTTTGATTTTAGGCACCTAACTCCGTTATTTAAACACTAGCTTTTACCCGCGGCTTCGCTCGCGTCACAAAAGGATAAAAAGTAGCCTATGTAACATATACCAATACATACAGCGCCATCTATACCAATACTTTTGTTTTCCCTCGGGAATATCAATTTTATTCGGGATAAAAAGTACCCTATTATTTAATCCAGACTTCTAACTTTACGTCTGCAAAAATTCAATGCAATCGGTTTAGTAGTTACGGCGTGAAGTCGGAACAAACAAACAAACAAACAAACTCACTTTCCGATTTATAATATTATATATAATATATAGTAAGGATGCGACAATCATCTTGCGTGTCTGTCAAGTGGTATAAGCGCATCCGCTAAAGTATAGATTACGGGGTAAAAGAGTTCCTATGTTGCTAGCTTTTAGGTTTAAAAGCTAGTAACATAGATTTTAGAAGTGACTATAATTGGATCGGTCCAATTAAACATCCTCACAGTGGTCCATTGATGGCAATTCACTACAGTATCACAAAAATATTAATAGAAAATTATTTAAGCGCTAAGTTTACAAAATTAGGTACATGAACAAAAAACAAGGTAGTTACATGGTCAAGTCTCTAGAACTCACGGCGACATTAGTGAGAGCGGGGTGGGAACTGGTTCCAATACGCAGTAATGCGGCGCAACGTTTGCATATTTAATTCATTAGTTTTCGAGAAATTAAGGCGGTCTAAAGAAAAAGCCGGTCAAATGACCCCTTACCCTACTTTTTGAAAAATAATCAAAACACTAGATCTTTTTATCTTTGGCTCCAAATAACTCTCTCCATAATGTATGTTGACATTATACGTACAATGTTATATGATCACAATATGTTCAAATCTACTTTGACCGGACTATATGTTACGATTTATAAATATTCCAGGTTAAAAGATACAACTGTCGCAGCTATATTTGTTATTGCTCTGCATATTATACCTAAAGGCTATGGATTTGTACAATTCTTAGAAGCTGAAAGTAAGTAGGAGAGGAGAATAATTCTATTTTTTGATATAATTATAATAATATGTTAATTTTGTATATTTATACTCATACGCACATAAAGTTATATAATTATTTGTCTTATACTATTATATAAAGCTGACGTGTTAGTTTGTTTGAACGAGTTAATCTCGGGAATTTTTTTGTTGGATAAGAGCCGCGTAGAGCGGGTAAAATCCCGTGGAAGTTGCTAGCTAGAGATAAATAAAGAAGTTAGAGATAAAAATAAGTGTTTCCATATAAATCCAAAACACTACTAGAAAAACAATGCACCGAAATGCAATGACACATTATTCAGATCCTTTAATGATGCAGGCAGCGCCTGTGTGAAGCATAATTTATAGAATACAACGATGATGATAGGATAGATACAAACTACAGAATCCCTATCTAAAGAGTTGAGAATATATTATTATATTTTGGAATAGTGAATTAATTAATTTTGTCATAATTTCAGCGAAAAGTGAACTACCACCTTTAAAAGCAGAATCAGCTATACTATGGTGGAAGTTTGTTGATAATAACGTTAACTATGGATATATCTTCCTTTTTGGTAATATGAGCTAACTGAACTACTTAAAAATTTAGCCCAAATAATGTATATTAATAATTAAGTTATAGTTTCATCAATCTATATATGCTTTCATAGTATTTCACTCTTGAATTAAAGGACATTATTATATTCACATTTAATGTGCGTCGAATTACATCTTAGAACATGCTGGTTGGTTTTTAGATAGAAAGTTCACTCAAATTTAGTTCGACTCGATTTAGTCGAAATAAGTAAGAGAAAAACACGGAGTTAATAGAATTGGAGGAATGAATGGACATGAAAAAATTATTTTTCTTTCTTTCTTTCTTTCAAAAATATCAATTATGAAATTGTGAAAGTATCTCTTGACCCCACTTTTGTAACTATTCATTTCTCGGATTAATTTTAACCCGGTATATTTTAAATAAATATTCATTTTTTATTTAAAAATTGCATGACTGCCTCGTTAGCCGCGTGGTCGCGAGTGTAACTGCCGGGCAAGGGGTCTCGGGTTCGATTCCCGGGTCGGGCAAAGTATTACTGGGTTTTTAAATCTCAGTAGTAGCACGGAGTCTGGAAATGTGCCCAGTATATGGCAATAGGCTCACCCCCTATTACATGGAACTCATAACATAAATAGTGAAAAGTGGGTGTTACATTGTACAATGGCATAATGTGCACCTCTGCCTACCCTTCGGGGATAAAAGGCGTGATGTTATGTTATGTTAATGTCATTTTTTATTTTAAAAATTGTTTATTTTCAGGAGCTTGTCACGCCATTGTGAAAGCGGTTAGAGTTACAGGTTTAGATAAGGAAATAGCGGAAGGTGCTGGTTCTGCGATTACTGGAAAGTCATGGAATGTCGGAATATTTATAGTTGTATTAGTCGCAACAATACTTGCCAATCTAACAACTTCAGTGGCAGCCTGTGTAATATGGATCCCATTTGTGTTGTCTTGTGTTAGTATTGTTTTATTTATTTTATACTAGCTTTTACCCGCGACTTCGCACGCGTCACAAAAGGATAAAAGTAGTCTATGTGACACACACAGCGCCATCTATACCAATAATTTCGTTTTCCCTCGAGAATATCAAATTTTTCCGGGATAAAAAGTACCCTTTTATTTAATTCAGACTTCTAACTTTACGTCTGCAAAAATTCAAAGCAATCGATTAAGTAGTTACGGCGTGAAAGCGGAACAAACAAACTCACTTTCCGATTTATAATATTAGTAAGGATTATAAACTCTTCCTAAGGCCCATTTTTCAATCATCAGTTAATTCCGAACTGTAGAATAAAATTGACATTTGACAGTTCTTAGTCTGAAAGAATTGTAAAATATTCAAAGTTATTCCACAGTTAAAATTTACCTGGCTTTGGTTATACGTAAGTTATACATAATATTGTAACACATGATATAGAAAGAAGAAATAATGAAAAATCATTTATTCGGAATTATCATCAACATCTTAAAAACAGGTGAGATAAAGGCCAAACTTTGGTACATCGAATATAAAAAAAAAAAAACTAAAAATTGGTATCCTGACCATTTGTGACCTACAAAAAATCGTAAATCATTCGTTTTAAACCTGTCTCTAACGCCATAAAAAGTGCGAGATAAGCCGCGAAAAAAACCATGAATAAAATATTTCCAGTTAACTTGAATTCGTATTTTTGTCTTAAATATCTGCCGGATACAGCTAAGGAAAATAAATTGAATATTATATACCTTTCGCCTAATTTTAAAGTCAGTAAATAAAACTCGTAATCTGATATAAAGGCGGGAACAAATAGGTCTTTATCTTTACCTATGAAAATGCCGTTCTGCAATACTGGCCATTTCAAATCAATATAATTTTTATTTGGTTAACAATTCTGATCATCAAAATCCATTCAATAGTTTCGGCGTGTTTGACGGACAAACATCCAAACATATATACAAACTTTCAGATTTATACTATTAGTGTGATATAAAACTCGGCAAAAATAAATAAGGCCCACCACGTTTAAGGTTAAAATAAAAAAAAACATTGATGTATTGCTGGTTTTTAAGAAGACATGTCTATTTAATACCCATAAATAACGAAAATGAAAAACTAAATCCATTTTATGTTTTTGTGACTATGGGCTTGCCCCATTAAAAAAAAGTTAACAACAAAAAATATTTCATTCAACGATTACTCTTGTAGTCGCGCCATGAACACAAGACAAACATTTTTTTCACATTATGTTTTTTCAAGCACTATTTTTGCTTACCTACTTAAATAAAACAGTTACTTAAATAAAACTTTTGTAAAAACTACCTCTTGAGTTATTTCAAGACACATACGAAATTATCGATGGTGGGTCCTATTTTGTTTATAATTTGAATTCCTATTTATTTGTTACAGTCTGTTGACGCGCCAATTCCTTGGCCAAGCAAGTTTTATCTTGCAGCACTGGGTGTAGGAGTAGCATGTTCATTTGGATTCTGTCTACCTTTTCTCTATACCCCAGCTTACTTTTGCCACAATACTGGAAAAGTGCCTATTAAAAAAATGGTAAATTATTTATTTTATCTATCTATCTATCTAAATTAATTATTATGTTTTTCGACTTACTCGTGACGCACAACGCGGCGGCTATCGCGGAATGCTACTAATGCATATGAGCCTTTAGCGTGGCTTGAAACTAGTCGAGTTCTTCGTCAAATAAATATCTGAGTAAGCCCGAAAATATAATAATTACGGTTATTTCCATTATTAAAATTTATACTATAATAGGGTGCGGCCCTAGCCAAATTACAATCTACAAGAATGATATCGTTATTAGAAAAGTATTTAACGTATGGAAATGACACAGAGTCAACACTAGTCAAAAAAATTCATAGACAATTAACACAAATATTTATTGCATCATACCGATAGAGTGAAATCAGCTCATCTTTTCCTCAACTTCGATACAATATAAATACTAGCTAAGTTTTTTTTTTTTTTTTTTTTTAATATTATAAATTATTTCTCCACGGACTCTAGGTCCGTGCCCTTGTCATACAGTTTTTTAATTATAATACATCTAGTCAATTTTTATAAAGTAAAGAGGGAACCTAGTTACACACTACAATTAACTACATCTAAAATTATTACCAAAAGTATAGGTTACATAATAATTAGGCACTATTTTTATTTCTATTTCAAAGGCTTTATGAAACCAGCCCACCAACAAGATGGGAGAGCCGACCTGACCCAGCAGAAGGCACCCGTTCACGAGTATGACGTGTGTGTCAGCAATTGGTCCGGTCAACCTTTTTATTGGGAACGGAACAACCCAACACACAGCGCCACCGACTGTAGGACATTTATGTGTGCATGACGCTTCAACCTTTGCCACATGGGCCGATTCCAATAAAGCGTACAATAGTCCAAAGTCAATTGGTTATATTCTATTTCTACAAGTTTCTGCACACACATTTCCTGATGTTGCATTCGTTCCATCACAAGCAACACTCCCCGCCCAAGAGAGCACCCATGACTGCCGCGTCCCTGTGTTTGATAGCCATTTTCAGGTTGTAGTCCTTAATACCTTGCTCACCCTCATCAGCCGCCTTCCTGATTAGTTTGCTTATCGCGTCTTCACTGTTGTCTGTGTAATAGATGCAACAATGCGTGTGACGCGATATTGCTACTACCGCGTGTGGTACGCTGTCATGTATTTGATGTTTCTTTGTTGCTGTGTTGACAACAATCACATTCGCACACGAAAGTCCCTGTGCCTCGTGTATCGTGAGCACGCGTGATCCCACGGTCGACCCGTATCCCTGGTTCTTAAGGGATTCCTTCTCTGCCTGAGTGTGTACCAGGTATAAAGTGTCGGGGAGTGACTTTGGAATCATCGCCCCCGAGAACCTTTTTATCTCGAGGGATCTCACGAACGACCTGGACGAGTATATGCCACTGTAAACTGTGCTGAGGGCATACGCCACATCCATTGGATTTCTGTGGGTACACATCAATTCCTGGCTTATGTGCGTGTTATATGTAGGGCGGCTGTAGAGTAGAGGGAAGAGGTTATCACGATCTATAAACGGAAGCTGATTTATGTCACCAATTAGAAGGACTTCCTTGGCTCGAGTTATTCGGGCGGCCATCACAACGGCTCCAAAGTGGTTCATGAGAGCCTCATCTACCATTAGTCGATGGCAGCTCTCTCGCTCCCCCAAGCCGTTTACTAGGATGGACGCCATTGTTCGAATCCTAGATTTGACGAGTCCTCCGATTCGGCAGGATAGTTTGCCTCTGAGGTCATTTGCTGCTTCGGTTGTCGTGGTGACAATTAGATCTTATATACTAGCTAAGTTACAACTTAAGATTACTTAAGTTACAATAGTTGTAGAAACGATTTTTAAGTTGTTGTTAGTTATGAAAACGAATTTCTAAGACCTATTATTATTCATTCATTACATAATTCTTTATTTATTTACAATTACTTTAACAATTTTATTAATACTATCCGGGTTTAAATCCACTGAGTTACTGCAGCCATTAAGAATCCCACATAGCCTAGGTGTAGGTGAGTTTCTGCCTAGTACAGACCTATGTTGTGGCGGGCATAAAGGCATAATAATATTTCTTGGGTATCATGTAGGGCATGGAATTTAACAAGACCCAACAATTTCGAACATTTAATTTTATTTCTCAATATTTTAATAAGAAATATGGCATCTGTGACGTCTCTGCGTGTGGATAGAGTGTGCATCTTAAAATGTTGCATACCGGTTTCGTAGGAAGGTAGCTGTTTATAATTTCCTTCACAAAAAGCTAAATGCCACAAAACGCTTCTGTACTCGTTCCAAACGCAGCATATGAGTGGCGTAGTGGGGTCTCCACACAGTATTCTTACTGCAGTGTGGTGGCTTTGTTTATATTAGAATAATATGCTACGCACGAGCCTGTTGTACAGCATTATTTTAAATTGAATTCAAAATTATCTTGGAGAAGTTGGCTGAATCATCACGCTAATTACTCACAGTCTTTATTTATGTATGTATGTATATATGTATGTATCTATGTATATTGTATTGTACTCGTGTGAAGGTATTTATTATAATTATGTTTATTTATGTTTATCACTGAAATATGTAAGTAAATATAAAAATGGAAGTATTTTAATTGCTCAATTAAATGTTGCTTGCTTCTTGCTCACACCATTTTTTTTTTCTTTTCTTTTTTAAAAAACATTGCCCCACACTAGGATTTTCTCCTGTGTCGTGGGTGCGTTTACAAACATACAAGTTCACATACACAATGACACCCAGACCCGAAACAACAATTTGTGGATCACACAAAGTGTTGTCCCGTGCGGGAATCGAACCCGCGACACGTTGCACGGCAGCCGGTTGCCCAGCCACCGCACCAACCGTGCAGTCAGTCAGTCAGTCATTAACTCTTCTCTGCATCACCCAAAGGTCAGACTGGGAGAAAATGCCTGCGGCATTAAGTCCACCTTATGTACACTTTGTGTATGAAGCTTAAATAAATAAATGAATATTTTAAATTCTACTCAAAGGCATTCCCTTACAGTCAACCATATATATATACTACACACATAAAAATCTATAGAATAAATACTTATCGTTTTCTAAGATCATTGTGGTGATTGTGGAATTAGATTTGATTTAAAGCGGTTGTAATTTGGCTAGGACCTAGGTTTGTACGGATAGACAAATCTGTGCAGGTATAGGTGTCTATAAGGTAAGACGTCAGTGTCCGAATCGAAACTCGTGAATCGATCAAGTTTCAAGTCCAATTTTATACTTAGACGATGATGTTTAGTTATAGAGAACAGATAATTTGCGTATTGGTTATCGTCATTTATTTAATTTACAGATAAAATACAATATCATGTCTGTACTCATTTGCATGCTTTGTTTATACTTTGCTCTGCTAATATGGGCTCCGTATCTATTTGACCCAAATGACTTGGGTGTTGTTGCCGTTGATGCACCAATTCAAGCAGGCGCGACAAAAGCAACGACGACCGAAGAGGGCGGTGAAGGCGCTGGCGGCGGTGGCGGCGGCGGCGAAGGCCTTTAATAATAATAAGTGTGTAATAATGTTAATAATTATATTAGTATGTATATGTATTGATATAAAATATTTTATTACTAATAGTAATAATAGAAATGGCTTGTTTTGCCACTGCCAATCAATTTGTTTAATTTTACCGACACATGACAAAAATACGTCAAATTATAAGTTTATTAATCTGAAACATAACAAAATATGCTGTTGTGGGCATTGGCATTGGTCGATTATCAACAAATGGGTCAAAAATAATTTAAAATTTAAACTCGTCTGTAACATCTCGTGTACAAATCGGGTTGGCCTAAGATTTTTCGAAAATTGGTTCCCAGTAGTGAAACAAGGCCTGTATTGTGTGAATTATAAGAGTTATAATATTTAGTTATTATATTTATGTTATGCGTGTGGATTAAGTTATAATGTTTTGTCTTATTTGTTCGAATATAAATATATAAGAATATTTTTCAATGGTTTCATTAACCCTTCCTATTTTTGAGGCGGGAAATCATCGAATGGCTTCTCCCGCCTTAGGTTAGGAGAGAGGAAGTATCAGACTCTTACTTACTAAAAACCATCCCGTTGTTACTCCTGCACTTCGAACCGGTGTCCCGGTAACTCGTTAAACCCTCCGCGGCTCCGTATCTGCATAAGCTCCCATCGGTGGTGGTATGATAACTCCTCGAGGCGCGCGCGGACTGCGATGCGACGTACGCTCGGGTATGGTTCTGGTCCGTCGCCGATCACATCCCTAAGGACACGGCGGTGCTCAGCCCATGCAGGCAAAAGTAAATAAAAAAAATATTTGAAAAAATCCTACGCAGGGCACACTGCCATCGTATGCTGCAATGTGTCCTCCGGGTGGTCCTCGCAGTGATGACACCCGGGCGTTTCCTCCCGCTCAATCCGAAACAGGAACCTACTAAAATTTCCGTGTCTGGTAAGTACCTGCGTCAGGCAGTAGGTGAGAACGCCATATCGACTCTCAAGGTAATCCTCAAAGAGGTGACTTAACGCTGCAATGATACTTTTAGAATGACGCCATCCGTTCAAAATCCCTTTCGTTTTCCCGCCTTTTAGAACGCCTTCTCGGAATCATCAAATTACGTTTCGAGAATTCAAGCCAGTTCTGAAGCCCGCTCTATTTTTTTGTCTCTGTTCTCTATGTTATCTGTTGAAATTTCTTAGAATCTAAGTCCGTTTTATTTTTATATGTGTTGTTTATGGTCAATCATAAAGAAGTTTAGTGTATTACACAATAAAAAATACAAATTAAATTAAAGCATAGTATTAATAAACCCTAACATTTAATATCCAGAGATTTAGCTGCATCAGAACCTAAATTAACATTTAATAGCTCTGATTCTGATGCAGCTAAATACTATTATTAGTCCTTGGAGACAGTTTCCTATTGGCAGTCAAAGGCTTAGCAATATGAGGAGTTTTTGGTAGTATTTTTACACATCAGGTTTTCACTCCTATTCTAGCACATGGGATGGTTGCTTGGGACCACACATATTCCCTTTTTTAGGGATTTGGAAAGCTAATAGCTAGGTACTTTTCCCATAAACCCTTTGTCTTAAAATCATGGTTGATCATAGATGATTTTTATTCCACTAAAATTAAAATATACTCAAAATTTTTCAATTAACTCAAAATATGTAACTATTTTTGTGGGTTTAGTGGTCCGAAATAAATTTGTTTGTATTTTACAAAGATTTTTTAATCTAAATACATCGTCGTTTAATACAAATAACCTAAAAAATAACTGTAAACAACCATACATAAAACCATAGACAAAGGCTTTTTGGGTAAAAGGCAAGGTAAGGCCTACCAAAACATTGTGTCGGTCCATGGGAAAACATTTCTGTACATAGGTCTAGTCGTATATTTTTGCATACAACCACGACATAATAAAGGCTAGTTAGTTTAGTAAAGTATATTGCTTTATAAATACATTTTTTTCATTGTAAATATTTATCTTGGGGTAATTCACTGATTAAATCTGGCCACATGACAGGCGCCCAGTAATACATGCTACCCCACGTTATTAGTATTGTTACAACTGATGGCCAAAAACCAACTTTCATCTGCAACAAAATTATCTTATTAGTATAGAAACTGAACAGTAAAGACCAAACCTAACCAAACCGAGTACCCTAGCTCGGTAGGTCATACTGCTGCACGTAATAACTTTATGAACATTAAAATTCAAGACGTCCGTTTATTATGAACAACTATAATTATTTTCTATTTGGTTTGGTCACCAAATCGCCTGGTGGTAAGCGATGATGTGGTCGACTGCAGACCAAGACTAAACATAACCAATTTATTCAATCGAGGCTTGAAGACAGGTTGTAGGTACCCTTTTGGAAACAGATTATGGTAAGGAATTTCACTTCTTAGCAGTTCTCGTAGTGAAACTCCCAGATCGGTCGGTTGGTAGCAACCACGTAGACGTAAAATAGATAAGGGCCTTTAGCCAAACGTCACTTTAGCGCTTGTCTATAGAGAGAGTAGAAATCAAAATGGGGATGTCACTGACAAGTGTCAAAATTTACGTCAACTCCATATAATTTAGTTTTCTACTCTACACGTAGACAAGCGCTAAATGGCATTTTGCTACAGCTGCTGGTCTTATTACAGTTCTATGGTAGCAACCTACATCCAACGTTTTAACTTTCTAAATAGGAATATTATCTTGATTACATTGTACTCTCACCATTTTTAATGTAGGAATTTTTGCAGAACTCTGTATTATTAGGTTCCCGGAGTTCCCACCGGCAGGCAGAAACAAAATGATGATGAAACCCCCGAAGCCACATTGTACCACAGTGGGTGAATGTTTATTTCTTTAGCCTGCAAAAGATGGGTACATTTATTAATGGTTTGGTTTTTTTCCGACTTGATGGTGAGTGTGAAGTTAAAGTCGTTTCACGTCTAAAAAATTAAGTAGGTACCTACTTAGTATTATTTGGAACTTTATGTAAAACTACTTACTCAATTCAAGTTCAACTTCATTTTGCTTATTACTTAGGGTCTTTAATACGCAAGTGACAAAATAACGATGTAGTTATTCGCTATCGGAAATAAAAAGAAAAAAATACTTACTAGTTGCATCACTATTGGCGTAACTACATTACACACCGCCACATTTGATGCAAAGTTTGTCACAAACACTGTAAAGATGATTACTAATAATATTATAAAGTAATTTGGGAAGATGCTAAGAGTTTTAAGTAATTTTCCAATTTGTCCATTCAAATCTGAATATTCCGCCTTGGCAGCCGTTGAGAGTGCAAAACCTCTCCTGAAAGTCATTGTTTTGTTTTTTATTTTATCTTTGTGTTTAAAAGTAATTGGTCTGTAACTGGTCCCGCCTGGGTGAGGCGAGAGGGAGTGTTAGACTCTTACTGACTACAAACCACCCGTTCCTTCTCCTGCACGTCGAGCCGGAGCCCCAGTAACCCGTTAGGGTCTCAGCGACATAAGTGCACATTACGGCAATTAATGCCACTGTACAATGTAACACCCACCGTTCAGTATTTATGTTACGAGTCTCATGTAATAGGAGTGAGTCTATTGCCATATACTGGGCATAATTCCAGTCTCTGAGCTACTACTGAGAATTAAAAAATCCATGAGTACTTTGCTTGACCCGGGTCTCAGTTTTGAATACTAAATGTCTAATCTCATGAGAGAGTCATTTTGGCCTATGTGGACCTATAATCCTAGGACATAAACGTGCTGATGACGATAGTTATAATTCGTATAGAACATTTCAGTTTTTACATTTCAATTAAGAATGAAGAATTATTACCTAAGAGAAACATGAAACTATAAGGCATTATGTCGTTCATTACTGTCCAACTTAATACTGAAGTTATTCGTTTGTTAGGCAACTCGTTAACTGAAACAGATTTTTTAGCTTAATGAATAATGACGTCATGCTATATGCAACCTATTTAACATAACATAACATCACGCCTTTTATCCCCGAAGGGGTAGGCAGAGGTGCACATTACGGCACTTAATGCCACTGTACAATGTAACACCCACTTTTCACTATTTATGTTATGAGTCCCATGTAATAGGGGGTGAGCCTATTGCCATTTACCGGGTACAATTTCAGACTCCGTGATACTACTGAGGTTTTTTTTTAAAAAAAACTAGTAATACTTTGCCCGACACGGGAATCGAACCCAATTTAAGACTCCTTGCCCGGCAGTCGCACTTATGACCATTCGACCAACGAGGCAGTCAACCTATTTACTTGTTATAATGTTAAGCGAATAAGAACCAATAATTACTTGGAGCGGTGAAGTTTTTAAAAAACTCTAGAGTAGATGGCAAAAGAAGCATTAGGAAACCAACGAATAAAGCCGCTGCCGAATCTCGTACACTGAAAAAAACAATAAAATTATTTTTGAATAATATATAGATATTATTTTACGAAATAAATTAGAAATTTTAACATTTAGTGATAACAACATAACAGACATCAGTAAACCAAAGATTTACGATTTCGAATTAAACATAATTATATGTAGCTAAATCTATAAGTAGATGTACGTACTATTTATGATCGTTTAGTTTAAAGTAGTCACTAATTGCGTCTCCCCATCCGTAAAATATTTGTGGTGAACGACAGAAGAACATAAGCATTGCACCACTGAATAAAATTAGGACCATCTGTGAAATAAAATTGTAAACGTCACAAACTACTTATTATTATAACTTGATTTTACTATTGAACTCACAAACTTGTTACTTATAAATTCATTGAGTATATTAAGTTTTTTTTTGTTTTATCATAATGAGCCGCTACTAACAAAGCAACAAACTCACATTTGAAATGAATCATCTTAACGAGGCTTGACTGATAAATAAAAATTATTGAACTTATTAGCTTCTGATCGCCTCCTCCCATAGGACCTTAGGGAACACTTACGTCTGTCTCCTGCTTCTAAGGTACCTCCCTACTTTCCTTTATATGTAGACGATTAAAATCATGGTGTCGAAAAAAAAATTGTTATGGGTTCCACAGCGTTTTTAGCCATCACGACTAAGCCGACGAGCCGTACGAGATTAAAATATGGCGTACAAAAATTTGCCGTCGTCATCGCTATTAAATTGTTTCAAACTGAACACTGTAGAGAATCGCTTAATAGTCGCGCTTGCTAAGCACTCCACCAACGAGACTAGTAATATTGTAATATTGTACTTAGTACGTGTGTAAAATTATTATCAGTTTTGAATACAGAATTAAATATTCGATACATTCAGCAGGAACGTCAAAATACTACGCCCGGGTGATGCTGGGGATCAACTAGTTTATAATACATGTTCACACGGCTTACAATTTCCCAGAAAGTAATTTTTCCAATTTCTTTCCAGCTTTGTTCAACAGCATCTTTAGCGGCTTGCATTGCAAGTTCAGGAATTTTTATTCGTTTTGCAGTCTCACTTTTAGGTCTGAATTTAAATGAGAAAATATGTTAATTTCACGTTAATCATGGCAAAATAAATATGTGTATCATATTTTTTCCAGTAAGACAGAGTTGCAAATGATTCTAAAATAGTGGTTAAATCAAGATTATAGAGGTATAAGTAAGATTTATACATATGAGTAGTGTAAGACAATGATTAATAATCATATTTATTTATGTTATGTCAAAATAATCTCAAAAATAAGTACAAAATGTATATCACCTTAAAAATCCAAAAAATCTCACAACCATTGTGAAATATAATCCTGCTTCTAATACCAACATGAATGGAACTGAAAATGCTGAATACTTGGGAAATGATAAATAATCCGGTGCCGATGGAAACGCCCTAAAAGTCGACCGAAACTTTATTAAAAACAATACAAATATTATTATTTTTGTAATTAAGTGACTACGTTAATCTACTATATAAAAATAAGTCGGGTTTTCCTTCCTGACGTTATAACTCCAGAACGCACGAACCCATTTCCACGGTTTTGCATTCGTTGGAAAGGTCTCGGGCTTCGTGAGGTTTATAGCAAAGAAAATTCACTAATCACAAAACGAAATGTGACATAAAATCAAGCCATCTGGTGGCGAAACGGAGTTCGCCGGGTTTGCTAGTTAATTATAATTTTATAAATATAATACACACATATATACATACATACATACATACACACATACACACACACATCATACAAGTTCAATACAAGCCTTTAAAAATATTACCTTTCATATAGTCCTTTGAAAACTAAATTAGTTGCAGAGCCCACCAGAGTACCAATGCCACCTAAAATAAAAGACAATTATAACCCTTCCATTGGCCTGCCAAGCGTGGTATGTATAGCAAAAATAAATATGTCATTGTATAACTTATTTTTGCCGTAATTCGAACTTCTTAAAATTTTTGTTAAGTACTTAAGTATTGGACAATAAATTTGTTACCTAATGTTCTTATATAATTACTAACTAGGTTCTACCCGCGACTTCGGACGCGCTATCCCGTTTTCCCGTTCCCGTAGAGTTTTCAGGAAAACCTTGGATAATCTAAAACAACCTTATATCCGTCTCCTGGTTCCCAGCTACTTGCCCACCGATTTTCAGCTTAATTGAGTTAGCCATTCTTAAGTTATAAATAGTGTAACTAACACGACTTTGTTTTACTCACCTATTGTAGCTGAAAAAGAAGCACCACAAAAATAGCAAGTCGTTATGTCTGAAGCTGTTAAGTCACCATTACTGTCTTCCTCGAAAGTAGATATCAAGTCGAGCTAAAATAAATCAAATTTTAAGTAAGACAAATCAAGTTTTAATGAAGAGTCATCAACGTAGTTTTTATAATCCAGATAAAGTGGCAATAGGCAAGCCATATCGTGGACTGACGGTAGACAGGGCAGCAAATAAAAGTACTCGAGAGAATGAAGAATGTTAACGATTTTCGTACTATCAAAATTGGCAAAAATATATGCATCTAAAGATTTGATAACTTGTACTTTTCCTACAAAATTAACGTTGTACTATAACGTCATGAAACAACGGCCCAAAATAATGTATTTTTTTAATCATAGTGAAAGGTAGTACATACGTTATAGTTATGAATAATTAACCAATTCGCAGATAATAATGCATAGTTACTTTCTTAAATGATGGCACAGTAACATTCTCCATTGCTTGCAGGAGCCTTGAAAAATTAGTAGCAAATTATCGTTCGGCAGGGAAGACTAAGGAGCGTCCTTTATGCAGTAGTAGACGTCGTTAAAGACTCATTAGTTCTTTTTATACCGTAACACCTTTTATCACCAATGGGATGAGCAGAATGCCACATAAAGCCAATACACTAGGGGACAAATGTCCTGCGATACGTGTCACCAGCGACGTTGGGTGGAGTAATGCGACGTTGCCAGACTTTGGTCGACATGTCTGGCAACATCAACGTCGATGTGGACATAAGACGCGCGTTGTGGCCTTATAATTTGATAGGCGAAATTGGCAGCCTTCACTTGATATGTTGACGATACATGTCGTGGTACGTTTGTCCTCAAGTGTATCCTTGTCTTAATTATGTATACAAAGTGTACACCCACTTTTATCCTTTCAGCTTTAGTTATGTTATTAGTCCCATGTAATAGGAGGTAAACCTACTGCCATATACCGGGCACAAATCTAAACTCCATGCAACTATTGAGAAATTTTCTGACTGAACTCATCTAATAATACTTTGCCCGATCTGTAAATCGACGACTAGACCCCTTGTTGAGCAGTCGCACTTGCGACTACATTTCATAAATCTAAAATAATTCCTAAAATTAAATTAGGAATATGTTACTCACATCTTCAAACACTTTTAACAAAGCGAATATTATAGGCACCATCATAGTAGTTGCGGCAGTGTTAGTGATCCACATTGATACGAACATCGTTGTAAGTGACATTGCTAACAACAACCTATAAAGAAAAAGATAAAATTAAAATTTATTTATTTGCATCCACAAGTTATTAGAGGTATATGCAAACATGGAAGCAAGCTATGTTCACATAAACGCAAACGCGACCGAGGTAACTGTGGGCCCTATAAAAGGCACAGGACAAGGCGCACCTTGCGAGCCTTATTCTACTTTATTCTTTAAATCGCTTTAACTAAAAAGGAACAATTACAAATTAAGTGTATAGTAGCTAATGTTATTTTCAGTCGTCTTCTTTCTACAAAACATTGACTTGTAAGGTAATAACTACAATGTGCCTATTTTTTCCTTCTCTCCACTCTCTGTACATAACTCAATTCGCACGAGAGATTTTAGAACCAATGCAATTTAGACGTTAACGCTCAAAGTTTAGCTTTGAAAATGCAACGCTGCACCCTAAAAGCATCGCGTTAGAAAAATGCTGGATGTATGAATGAACGTGCGAATGAAGTTTTAAGCTCTGCTTCTGATCTTGAATAGGACCAAGAAATAGAAGTAACATTTGGAAAATAAATGGTACCTGTAGTGAGAGTAACCGATTAGTCTTATAGCAGAGAGTGCTAGTCTTTTATGCAATCCTGATTGCTCCACGGCATATGCAAGCACCATGCTCCCGTAAAACATAAGAATAGTATCCTGAAAGTAAAGACATATTAAAATTAAAATTTTAAATTTCGCCCGAGTCTTTACTAAAATCTCACTCTCTTCCGCCTCCGGTGACAGGAGAGGCAGTGTCAGACTCTTACTGACTAAAAACCACCCCGTTCTTACATCTGATCTTCGAGCCGGAACCTCGGTAACTTGTTATGTCCTTCGCAGCTCCGACTAATTATAGCTTAGATTTACGTTGTTTTGTATTTCAATCAAAGAAGACTATCGTGTTCTATGAAAAATTGAATACAATTTTGGCAAACATTGTCCTGGTAATGATAACGAATACAATGTTAGAGTTAATATAAATATGTCAGCCATAGTATCGCTTATCACCAGGCGAGATAGTGACCAAACGCCACCCTAATAAATATAAAAAAAAATAGAGCCAATTTATATTCATTCGTTATTACGTTTTCGGCTTACTCAAGTAACTATAATATGTTCACGATATTATGTTTAATAGGCTCATATTAGGCATATGTAGTATAGGTTCATATTCATGAACAGCATTAATTTCATTCCGCGACACGACCTCGTTCAGCTGAAACTAGTCGAATTCCTTGTCAAAAAGTAACGTTACATGTGTAAGCCGAAAACAGTCTAATTCATTTTATCTCTCAAAAAAATTATAATATTATAAACTTACATTCATGTAACACATACATGTCGTACGTGTGTCCATTACATCAGTCATAGGAAATATCACTATAGGTAGAAACGATGTTATAGGTAAGGGAATGCATTCGGTTACCCAGAAGACAGCCATTATAAGAAGGGTGTATGCACACCATTGATACTTCTAAAATCAAGAATCGTAATATACATAATTATTTTAAACGGGTGGTATTTAATACTTTAACTGTAAATTCCTTTTTTCAATTAAAATATTCGAAATTACCATCAAAAATACTGAATTGCACACTAGTTTTGCCTATCAAATAAATCAATTATACTATACTGTTAGATCTTTAAAGCTTAACTGTGTTACTGAATGACTATCTTTTAACTAAAAGTAAATCTAGTAATTCTTTGAGTGCAACAAAATATATAAAAACATCAAAAAAAAAACAAACCTAACTTGATATTGAACAATGAGTGTGCAAATTAGTATTTTGTTTTACGGTTTATTTCTTTAATATGCAGTAGGTAATTAGTGGAGAAATTTATTTTGCTTAAATTTCTAAATAGAGATGCAGTAAAAAATTCCCCATTTTAAACCAGCTACTTTCGCGGTTTCGTCCGCAATGCTGCCTGTTGCCTGTTGATCGTAAATTTTTAATAGCATATAGTTTTCCTTGACAAACTGGCTAACCAATATTATCAATTTTTTTTGTAAATTGGCTATTCAATACAAATCGGGCCAGTAGTTCCTGAGATAAGCGTGTTCCAACAAATAAACTCTTCAGCTTTATATATTAGTATAAGATTACTTAATCAAGTGTAGGTATTGTTAGGTTTTTCAAATATAAACCTTAGAACTTACATTACACGCAGCTTTGGGTGAAACAGTTTGTCATATCGCTTTCAAAAAGGATAGAATTATCCGATCAATCGAGATTATTAAATCTTTATGATTTACCTACAAACCTGATACAAGTCCGCGCTGTAGGATTTGGTTGACTGTTATGTCAAAGTCAGATATTGTTAAGCACGAGTTAAGGGTGCCCACCCTATAGATATATGCTTTGTCAGCACTAATTCAGCTTAGCAACATAATTAGTAGGTATATAAGTCAGCATTATATAAAACACGTGTAGAATCTCTTGGAACATTTTGTGCTTACTCATTAGTTTACTTCTTTCGCAATAAGTAATATGACACCCTTATTGTACCAATAATTATTTGTAATTTCCATTAGAATTCATTCTGTTCTCAGACTTCGCTCAACAAACATTGTAACTCGATTTTATTAAATAAATTTTATTTTTATTATAAATCCGAGTTTCCGTTCCTTGACTGGCGCAGCCGGTAAGTGACCTTGTCGTTTGGGTCCTCTGTGCCACCGCGAATAAAATTTTCGGGCACCGAGAACATTCCAACGTTCGTATCAACGATTCAACGGGTCAGCGAACCAAACAAATTCGTCAAGGGAAGCCACGGCGCAGAGCAGGCTGAGCAGAATCATCAACCACGGGAGAGCGGCAAAGCAGCGGGTCATGTGAGTAGATCTTTTCACTATCCTGTCTACTTTCCTTTGAATTTCCTCCGTGATAATTGTGTGTGTCTCGTGTATCATATAGGGATTAGAAAAAGCCCTTCTGGCACGTAGCGCATTACAGTGATAAAATTTTCACGTTTAGTAATAGTTAGATATAATTTTATTACGAGTTAAAGATATTTTAGTAGGTACTACATAAAAATGGAAGGAATCGTAGTTATATCCCCTGGAGTATTAAAAATCATCCCTATATTTAGTGGCGAGACAAGGCTATTGTCTTTATTTATCCGCAAAACTGAATATATCATTAATTTATATCGCGGCAATGAAATACAGAATGAATATCTGTTCAACGCGATAACCAGTAGGCTAAGCGGGGAAGCAGCTAATTTAATAGGTGAACGAGATACAATTCACTCTTGGGCAGAATTAAAGCAGGTTTTACAGGATCATTTTGGGGATCCAAGAACAGAAGATTGTCTAGTATTAGAGTTAGAAAGTCTAAAAATAAATAGAGGCGAAAGTTATTTAGATTTTTGTCACCGTATTCAACAATTACGTAGCATATTAATCGCGAAAATTAATGAATCAGACGAAGATGCGGCTACAAGGTTATCAAAACAAAGTATTTACACAAACCTTTCTTTGAATGTTTTCTTGTTTAATTTACCGAAATTTTTAGTTAGGTTGGTGCGATTAAAAAATGTTTCGACCCTGGAAGATGCTTTGAAAGCTGTCTTGGAAGAACAATATTTCCAAGAAGTTTACGACCAGAAACAATCGCGGCATCCGTCATTTAATACAAACTTTCAAGGCCGAAATAATTCGAATCATAATTTTAATTCGCAAGCATCGCCGAGTACAAGCACTAGTGCACCTAATATGCGATCTAACAACAATTTTACTCCAAATCGTAACATTGTACAGACGAATAATAGAAGTAACATTCGGAATAATAACTTTACAAATAATTCATTTTTGCCTAGAAATAACAGAGATAATAATAATCGCTTTCATCAAAATAATTACTTTAACAATAATCATAATACGTCGCAACAAGGCCGGCCACAGTTCCCAGGCCGACAAATTGCTGACAACGCGCAGCTCGGTTCGCAACAAGCGCAGCCCGCGCCGCTGTCGCCGCATGGCTCAGGTTCAGGTTGCAATACCGACGTGACCATGAGAACGGCTAGTACAAGACGCATCAATTATACCGACCATAATGACAACGGGAATAATGCAATATTCGATATTTCTAATGAGAACGAACAGGTAGGAAATTTTTGCATAAGGGCCTCTTCACACCAGAGCGAATAAAATTAAATTGTACTATATTAAATCTGCCGTATATATATTTACCAGAACTTAACGCTAATTTTATGATTGACACCGGCAGTCAACGTTCGTTTTTAAGCCCAAAGTTAGCGAATCAATATTTTGGCGACTTTAAGCGAAACGAAATATTTAAAGTAGTAAGTACTCACGCCATAAGTACACATAATGAAGTAGCGTATATACCTTTACCTAAAATATTTAGAAGTAATGAATGGCACAAATTTTATATTTATTGCGTTGACGATAGATATGATGGCTTAATCGGTAGCGATTTATTGGTGCAACTTTACGCTAATATTGATATGAAGAATAAAAAATTGTTTACTAGGGATACTTGCATACCGATTAACTATAGCTCACCTACACATAAGTATGATTTTTACAAGTTACCGCCGCGTAGCGAATTACGGGTCAAAATTCCGGTTAATTTGGCAAACGGTGAGGCAATTATAAATTTTGTAGAATTTACCAAGGGTGTTAGAATGCCAACAGCCTTAGTTAACTGTACGCATGGATATGCAACAACAGTCATACAAAATTCTAGATCCGAACAGATGGAATTATCGATTACCAGTCCGTTTAAGGTCGAACCATATTTAGATAATAATTTAAAGCATGATAGGCTTAGGTTGAACTTTACCGATGAAGATAATCGTAATTTGGACCAACTATTAACGGATAATCTCTCTAAGTTAAAAGTTGATCACATGAATGAAGAAGAAAAGCAATCTATTATTAATATTTGTAATGAGTTTAAACTGTCAAACACCAAGCGGTCACCGGTGACCGCGACCTATTGTTCTTTAATTGTGTCTATAAAACCGGTATTCGACGAGTTAAAGATATATTTTATTGTGAGGACGTACCACTCTCATTTACAAACGAGGTAAAGCATAGGATTAGAACTAAAAACGAAGATCCAATACATATTAAAGCTCGAAGGTTACCGCCTTCACAAGTTGCGGAAATAAAAAATCAAGTAGAAAAAATGCTTAAAGATAATGTCATACAAAAATCATTTTCACCTTGGAGTGCACCGGTTCATTTAGTGCCAAAAAAAATAGATAATTCGGGCAAACAAAAATGGAGGATGGTCATTGACTATAGACGCCTCAATGAAATTACAGTCGACGATAAATACCCCCTACCTAATATCAATGACCTTTTTGATATGTTAGGCAAGAGTATGTATTACAACCTTTAGATCTAGCTAGTGGCTACCATCAGATTGAGGTAGAAGAAGAGGATAGAGCAAAAACAGGTTTTAGTACCATTTTGGGCATTATGAATTTAACAGGATGCCATTTGGCCTAAAAACAGCACCAGCTACATTCCAACGTGCTATGGATAATGTCCTAAGAGGATTGCAAGGCATTCATTGCTTAGTTTACTTAGACGACGTTATCATTTTCGCAAAAAGTATTCAGGAACATAATGAAAAACTTAGAGCAGTTTTTGAGAGATTTCGCGAAACTAATTTAAAGGTACAATTAGATAAATCTCAGTTCTTACGAAAAGAAGTACTGTATTTAGGGCACACTATAACTAGTGAAGGCTTAAAGCCCAACAATGACAAAATAGAGGCAGTATTAAAATATCCTATACCCAAAACAACGACTGAAATTAAAAGCTTTCTTGGTCTCATAGGGTACTATAGGAAGTTCATAAAAGATTTTGCGAAAATAACAAGACCACTTACAGTGTGTTTAAAAAAGGGTAAAAATATAGAGTTAAATGAGGAATATATAGAGAGTTTTGAAACATGTAAAAAACTTCTTACAAACGCGCCGTTATTACAGTATCCGGATTTTAATAAATCATTTATCCTGACCACGGATGCATCAAATTTTGCAATCGGGGCAGTACTATCACAGGGCACAATTGGTTCAGATAAACCAGTGGCATACGCCAGCAGAACCCTAAGTGATACAGAATCTAGATACAGCACTATTGAAAAAGAGCTTTTAGCAGTAATATGGGCAGTTAAGCACTTCAGACCATATTTGTGGGGAAAAAAGTTCTACATTTATACAGACCATAGACCTTTGGCCTGGCTATATTCGCTTAACGAACCAAACAGTAAGCTCACTAGATGGCGACTTAGATTAGAAGAATACGATTTTGAGATCAATTATAAAAAAGGTTCGCAGAATTCCAACGCAGATGCGCTATCGCGAATAAAATTAAATACATTAGGCGTAGACAGTAATAATAATATTATAGTTAGTCTAAATGGTAAGAAAAGTAGGGAAATAAAAGTTAACATACTAGCTAATGATGATAATGCGTCAATGTTAGTAAACGTAGATAATAATGAATCTGTTAGGAATATACAAAATAATAATGAAGTAGAAGAGATAATTAGCTTGTCAGACTCAGAATCAGATAAACTCAGCATAGATAGAAAAGAGGTACCTGTCATAGATGTATCTGATTCAGATGATGGAGCTACTGCTCATATCATATCGAACAGGGAACACGAAGGAATACCAATTTTAAATGAAGCAGTTGATACCAAGCCCAAACAAATACTTGTCTTCAATTGGTATAAAAATGATATACATGTTAAAGATATATCTAATAACAATCAAAAAATATTTGAAGTACACATGCCAGCTGTTAATAATGAACACTTAGTAAAAGCGTTTTTAAAAGAGTATATAGATTTTAAGCAGAAATATTTCATTTACTTTGAAACAGAGTCTTTTAGAAAAGTATTTAGTAAAGTAGTGACAGCACTGTACAAGAAAGGTAATCAAAATTTAATTGAATGTACAGAGCGAGTAGTTAATGTAACAAATGAAGAAGAACAAAAAGAAATTATTATGAAATACCATGAGGGCAAAACAGTTCACCGAGGTATTCGGGAAACCCTCACTAAACTTAAAAGGCATTATTGGTGGTCTCATATGAAAGACACAATAGCCGCCGTCATTAATGCATGTGAACAGTGTAGGAAAATGAAATATGATAGAAAACCTATAAAACCTCAGATACAATTTACTCAAACACAAAATATGCCATTTGAGGAAGTTTTTATGGACCTTTTGTACGTAGAAAATAATTATTATCTAACCATAGTAGATGCTTTTAGTAAGTTAGCGCAAGCTTTTAATGTACCGAACAGAAGTACACCCGAAATAGTTAAGGCATTAATTAAGTATTTTAGTTTCTACGGAATACCTAGAAAAATTAATAGCGACCCTGGAACCGAATTCAATAATAACCTTGTGAAAGAATTATTAAACTTGTACAAAATTGAGATACATGTAGGGACGCCGAATAACCCCAATTCGATGGCTATAGTTGAACGTTTCCATTCAACAATACTTGAAATTTATAGGTTAGCAAAGTATGAAAAGAGTGATCAAGATGCAGCCTCTGTGATGACGTATGCAATTATGGCATATAATAATACTATATATATGTATAGACATAGTGCGACAGGTTTTACACCTCATGAAATAGTGTTCGGTCACACAGAATCGGGAAATGCATTTGATATAGATAGAGATAAAAATCTTTTACAGAAATTAGTTCAGGATCATAGGAAAAGGCTTAAAGTTTTATATGAATATGTTAGCGATAAGATTAAGGAAAATAAGAGTAAAGTAGTAGAAAAGAAAGGTGGTGAAACCCCTCCTGAGATAAAAGAAGGTGATAAAGTCTTCATGAAAACTACTAGGAATCGAAAAGCTAAAGAAGTGCCACGATACGAAAAAGCGGAAGTTATAGGAAAAGTAGATAGAAATATAGTACCGGTAAAACTCAGAAAAAGAAATACAAAAGTGGCAATAAAAAATATAAAACGCCCTCCGCAGGTGGTGGCAGGCAGTTTTGATGCTCCTGGTCCTAGCGGAAACGGCAAGCACCACGAACCTGCAGGAAATGAATCAGAATCCTGGAATAGCGCCGATACGGATAGGTGCAGCAGCGATTCAGAATAGTCATTGGACTATATTTAAGACATTAGATTTAAAAACAATAGATAAGTATTTAGATACTAATATTAATCAATACTTTAGGTTAAAAGATATGATTTATTCGCAAACTGAATCACATCATGAACTTGTAGGATTAACCTTGCAAGTAGAATCTTTTATGGAACTTACGAAAGATAGACTAAAACAAATTATTCCTAATAAAAGGACGAAAAGAGCCCTGATAAATCCGTTAGGTTCAATTATTAAACTAATTACAGGTAATTTAGATGACGATGATGCAAAAAGATATAATTCAGAGATTAGTACGTTAAAAGACAGAGAACATTCAGTAGAAAAGAAACTGTCACTTATGCAAAAAGCTTTCGATAAACTAGTAAATGTTTCGGATGATTTGAATTATAATTTAATTCACTTAAATATTAAAACTGCACAATTGAAAACATTACAGTATAATCAAACTAACATACATAATATAGTAAGTCAAATGAATACCTTATACCAAATCTTAAATAACTTTCGTACTATTTACAATGTGATTCAAGAAGTAGAAACAGCAATAGCGTTTAGTAGAATCCACATACTTCACCAATCTATAATCAATTCAACAGAACTTTTTAATATATTGTCAGAAGTAGAAAAGTATCATAGATTAGTATATAAAGTAGATAAGAATAATCTTACGAAACTAGAAAGTACTATTGTTCTTAGGTCCTATTCTGATAACTATAAGTTAGTTTTTGTGTTAGAAGTTCCTTTGTTAGATAAGGTCACATACAATTATTACAAGATCGTTCCTATACCTATATACAATCCTTATACCTTAAAAACCTTTATCATCATTCCAAAGTATCCTTACCTTATAGTGAATGGATTGAAATATAGACCCATTTCGACGCCATGCGAGAAAATCGATGCCAACCAGGTCCTCTGCAAAGAAGATAACATCGTGCAATACGCAGACACGACGTGCATCGAACAAATAATGCTATTGAAAAACTACTCTGCATGCCAAAAGGTCTTCATACAAATAGAAGATGAAAGAGTCTACAACGTAGCTGATGGAGTATGGTTACTCTTCTCAAAGTCAAGCGTCATACTTACCGAGAACTGCAACGATGAAATAATGAAGTACAATCTGAAAGGAACATTCCTGGTCAACCCCAATCCCAATTGCGAGACACAAATTGGAAGCAGAACCATCAATAAGGTAACCGAGACAAGGACACCCGAGTTAAGCTTACGACTGAGACCTGTAACGATGCCTGAACTACAGCAGGAAATCACGACAGATGAGAGCCAGATAGACCTTCGCGGCGTGGACCTTAGTGACGTTAAAGACATTTTAGAAAGTGCTAAAAATTATGATAGTGAAAGTGTCGGTAAAAGTGTTATAGTGATAACAAAGGACATAAGTGTATGGACAATAAGTATAGTAGTAATAATGACTCTGTCAGCCCTAGCATTTGTAATTGTAAAATTTAAGGTTTTTAGAAAATATTTTCTGATACGTCGAAATCATCTGGAACCAAAAGATTTGCCTCCAGCTGATTTCTCTCTTAAGGGGGGAGGAGTTAAGGGTGCCCACCCTATAGATATATGCTTTGTCAGCACTAATTCAGCTTAGCAACATAATTAGTAGGTATATAAGTCAGCATTATATAAAACACGTGTAGAATCTCTTGGAACATTTTGTGCTTACTCATTAGTTTACCTCTTTCGCAATAAGTAATATGACACCCTTATTGTACCAATAATTATTTGTAATTTCCATTAGAATTCATTCTGTTCTCAGACTTCGCTCAACAAACATTGTAACTCGATTTTATTAAATAAATTTTATTTTTATTATAAATCCGAGTTTCCGTTCCTTGACTCACGCCATCTCTTAGTCATTGGTCGAATTTCGTTTTCAACGTGGTTGCTACAGTCTTGTCGTGTACAATACGAAGCTAACATAAGTTTCTTCTACTCTTTTTAGTCGATAGGTGTCGCCATAGAAAAGATAACATGACTATTATAATGTCAACGCATTAGTTTCATTCCAGGTACAAAGAAGATAGTTAGATACTAATTTAATATCTATTCATCATCAACTGTCTTTATTCGCCTATCAAAACATATTCACCAAGTTTTACAGAACGTGAAAGATATATTATTATGCTTTAGATGATATAGGTCCCGTTGCGGTCAACATTCATCTTAAGATGTATGCATGTATTTTATTTTGTAATATATGTAATAATATCAAACCTTTGGAGGAAATGGTGCAAGCACGGCGATAAATATTAAAGGAGTGACCAAGCAAACTATACCGCGCCAATGAACACTTAGAAATAGTACTAGTTTTCTTTTCCGCGATACTTTTTCATCTTCATTCCTGCATTATAATAATAAAGCTATGATTTTAACGCCACGATTGGCTGCAGCCGACAAAAATATATGTTTTTAGGTACATTTAGTTTGTCGGCTATAAATGACCGCGGCGGTCAAAAGGTTAATGGGGGGTGGGATAAACGTACTGTGCCTTTAGCCAAACGCCACTTTAGCGCTTGTCTACAGAGAGAGTAGAAAACTAAATGTATGGGGATGACACTGACAAGCGTCAAAATGCACATACGTCAATCCCATATAATTTGGTTTTCTATTCTACATGTAGACAAGCGCTAAATGGCATTTGGCTACAGCTACTGGTCATTTGATGGTAAGTCCTCGACGCTGCTCAGATACACTTGAAACAAAAGTTTACCTAAGTATGGTCTTACGACCGAATTTATATCCTTCTTCCAAAAGTCACTCAACACACGTGAATTTAGCGAAGCTGCACAATATTTTGGTTGAGATACCATAGCCGTTGTTGACCATTTTTTTATTATTATTTATGTTTATATCACAAAGGTCAGTATTTTATAATCTAAGCCCCACAAAGCAATGACAATGATGAACAATGACCATGCAGGACATTGTTCGATTATTTACGCCCTACTCAAACAAGACCTCAAAGTTGACAACTTACAAAACTTCAGGTTGATTTTCTGTTTGAGGATCAGTAACACTTTCCTGAGTGTCCTCCATAACAATTATTTAAAAGGTAATAAAGAAATTATTTTCTACTACCGCTACACTTGTCAAAGAACTTATCGAGATGGTTATGATAACTAGGTATATGTTTGCATGGCTAAACTAGATGGCTCATGGCTGTAAGGTTGTAAACGTATTTGAACCTACTATTACAAAATATCGTTCCGGCAAGTACTTAAACTGATTTAATAAACTCACGCACTTTATAAGACTAAAGAAGGTACCGGTGCCAATTAGGTACAGGTATGGACTACAAACAAAAAGAGACAATTTTGTATTTGTCATATCTATCAAACGTTAGGAGTTGGTTAGAAGTAAAAACAAATCTATATATATAAAAGAAAGTCGTGTTAGTTACACCACTTATAACTCAAGAATGGCAGAATAGATTTGGCTGAAAATTGGTAAGGGGGTAGCTTAGAGCCAGGAGACATAGGATACTTTTTAACCAATTTTTTTTTTTACGTTTTACCGTAAATCACGAACGGGGACGGGAAAAAATGGGATTACGCGTACGAAGTCGCGGGCAGAAGCTAGTACGTTTATAAAAACCGACAGAACTATAAACTGAAGTAAAAAAACCGATAGAACTAAAAACTAATCTATAATAAACTATTATTCATTGTATCCTACCCCACTGATAGTTAAGTCGGTGCCTCAAGTCCTAAACAACAAAATACTTTATCAAAAGCAAAGTTATAATTATACACCTACTAGCTTTTGTCGGCGACTACCATAGATATATAACTTATAGTCTTATCATATCAGTGGCGACTAATAAGAGTGGGCCTATGTATATACCATATAATATACCCCTGCCCCAAATTTTATCTCGACCCCTTAAACCATTTTGACGTGAAAGAGTAACAAACTCACAAACACACATACATCCTCAGAAATTTTCGCGTTTAATATTAATATCATAAAACGGGGTGAATAGAATCCGAGGGGTATATAAATACCTATTAGAACATTTTCTCAATATTTTTACACCCCTTTTCTAAATCTATTTACCCCTCGAATTCTATTCACCCCGTTATACCGTTATTGACATAACTTCACGCCTTTTATCCCCGAAGGGGTAGGCAGAGGTGCACCTGTACATACGGCACTAATGCCACTGTATAATGTAACACCCACTTTTAGGAGTTCTATGTGATAGGGGGTAAGCCTATTGACACATATACCGGGCACCCAGACTTCGTGCTACTACTGAGATTTTTTTTAAAAACTCAGCAATATCCAGGAATCGAGCCCGAGACCCCTTGCCCTGGAGTCGCACTTGCGACCACTCGGCCAATGAGACAGTCACAGTATTACCGTTATTATGAACCTACTTAGATTAGCTACCATGATTTTTTTACAAAGGTATACAGTGGTATGCACTGTTGCCTACTGCTAACCTCAAAAGTTGGAGGTGACGAACGGGAATGACCGATGTTGTAGATGTTCACATCCGCATTAGAAATTAAACAAATATTTTTTTAAACATATATACTATATTAATACTAAGACGAACAAACATGTAAGTTACTATAAATATTATTACTATTTGCGAACGGGTAGGTACTATTACGCGTAAAGACAAAAACAATTGACACGTTTAAAAATAACCGGTTAACTCTCCCTAATTCCTTGTATTTTCAAAATTACATGATAATTATTCTAGTTACAACACATACACATAATCAACACCGCTCCGTCGTTTCTATTCTACCATAGAGTCTACGAATGGCTACCATGCCATAGTCGATATAGATAACTTTTAACTACATTAATTATGATAATAAAAAGTTATTCATTAGCTAATCTCCCGACCCCACCACCTGAAATCTATAGAAAAGATTACTTTTTTTTGATGACCGGGGTAACTTTCAAAATGGGCCCAGTTTTTTAGAAAAACTAGGGAGTGTAGAATTATTACCTGACTAAAACCACCCCGGTGGCCACCATTGTCACCTACATGGGGCACCAGGTCGTCTAATAGACCTGCTCCGACGCACCTACGATATAACGCCTGTTACGGCATATTACCAGGGAGTCATGCATTTCGTTTAAGCCTGGCTGTGGACCGCGACACGTAACCACTGTGTCTTTTGTGGAGCCCAGAGTCTGACTACAGATAATGCAAACATGACATTGGCGTGTTAGGCGCCTAAACGATTGCCCCCACGCCGTCGGCAAGCAGGATCTGTCCTCTCTGAATCCCGCTCAGCAGCCTCGTTTTGAGGTCTCACTAGATGAGATCACTTCCCATACAAACGATTACTTAGGCTTAACTTTAAATTAAATAAAAAAAAACCTTATTTGATAAAATACCACCATATATGATAGGTATATAGAACGAGCTTATTGTAAAACATCTGAAATCAATTAATTACTTAAACAAATTAAAGTATTTCAGTTGCCTGAATACATAGGTGGTGGGAATATCTCGAGTATTAATATGTAAAAGTTAAATTATAATAGGTATAAGCTAAACTATATACAAATAGTCCTACTTTCTTATTATTATATTTTATTTATTTGCAGCGGCAATCCAGTCAGGCATTTCTTTTAGATCTGGCCATATGATAGGTGCCCATAGGTTCATGCATATCCATGTTACTATCATAGTGCTAAGGGTGGGCCCAGATCCGGCAACAATCTGAAAAAGAAAGTTGAATTATCTTAATAATTACATGATAGTAAATACAAGGCAGCTTGTTTTGTTCTCCCGCCTTACCCAGACGGGAGAAGTCATTAGATGATTTTCCTCAATAAAAAAAATAAAATAAATAAAGGCAGCTAGTGGCGACTGTTGGGTAGTGGAATCTCATATGACAAAAGTCTCGTGAAAGATTACTCTCTAAAATGCTTAGAAATCTGCAACAAAATTTAAAATAGCGTTCTAACCTAACCTTACTTTTTTAAAATACATCTTACATCGAAACTTTTGTTTTATTACACAGATTTTGAAAAAAAAAGTAAAACGTTTCGTTTCTTGACATCAATTTGATAGAGCTCATCATAATTCTACATTTCCATTTACTATTTAGGAAATGATTAGATTTATAATATACCTAATATAATTTATTTCATACATTTCCGAATTTTTCCAAATATATTCAAAAATGTATGAACCTTGTTTAAAAATGAGGAGAATACACAAATTGCTTGAATAAACCATCAAAAAGTTGACCAATTCGTTTCAAGTCAAATTTACCATTTTTCCAGTCGGAATTTTTGCAGCACTCTGTGCTATAAGGTTCCCAGGAGTCCCTACAGGGACCATGAAGCAGAAGGAAGCAGAAAATCCAGAAGTAATGGCATACCACAAAGGGTTTTGATTAATTTCTTTTGCCTGAAACATGATAATTAAAAAAAATGTAGTAAGTGTAGACTATTTATCTTTTATTTTTAAATTACAAATTTTAAAAGGCAACAAATAAATTTCTCGAAGGGTTTAGAAAAGATGCAAAATATAATAAATAATCCCCTAATGGATCTAGGTCAACTTGCGTAGTAACTTGCGTAGTAACCAGAGGCCCAATTACCCTCCGCTTCCCCAATCTCCCCAATTCCTGAATCCCCGACGATCCTCAAACTCCTAATCCCTAAAAGGCCTGTAACGCACTTGTAATGCCTTTGATATTCCAGGTGTCCATGAGCGACGCCGATTGCTTACATGTGTAGCATATAACAGTATAAAATAAGCGTTATAAAAAAAATTAAAATGTTCCACTCACCAGTTGCATGGCTATTGGTGTAAATACATTACACACAGCCACGTTAGAAGCAAAGTTGGTTACAAGAACTATAACGACAACAATAATGAGAAGAACTAGCATATTTGGCAAGGGTTTCAAAACCTGCATTGATTCTCCGAGTTTAGCGTTCAAACCCGAAGATTTGGCGGCACTTGATAGTGCAAATCCCCCACCTAAAATTGAGATTAACAGTAAATATAGCTACAATCAATGAACAATAAATGATCGTCGTGGTGGCCCGGAAGTTAAGACGCGCGCTTGTCATGTATGAGGGTGCGCGTTCTAAACCTACCAACGACAAATACCAATGTGACATTTCCGAGTCATAGGTATGTATGTATATATGTAAGATTATTTAGACAGCACTAAGAAACGGTGAAGGAAAACGTCGTGAGGAAACCTGGACTTATTTTTTCTAATTTCTAAGTTTGAAATCGCCAACCCGCAGTGAGCAAGCGTAGCGATTAATGAGACATTCTCCGTATAGGAGGAGGCTTTGCTCAGCAGCATAAGGCCCTTATAAGCTGTCGACGACAGGTACAATTATTTTATTGTATCAACTAACATGTATGAGACATACAATTTACAACTAGCTATTCTAACTTGCGTGATCAAAGCGTCACTACCGCGATAGTAAAAGGTTAGCACACAGTAACGGCAACGGGAGACAATCTCTACACCCCCATGGGAGACAGACGTGTGAGGTTAACCCAGATATTATACATTACTTGTCATTTTTGTCATTCATTCATTGTCATTTATAGAGCAATAAATCTTATGTCGTCGTATCAATTACATTTCATAACGTCAATACAAAAAGTCTGTAAACACGTAGGCCGCGCGCTGATAACTACCGCCGCGGCCGTTGACTTTTCCAGAGCAAAAAGCGACGTGCCGCAGCCGCGTCGTTACTATGTCATGACCATAAAGGTAGCAGTGCAATGTGCACTCGGTGCTAGTAATTATAGGCTCCTGTGCCTTTAGCCAAACGCCACTTTAGCACTTGTCTACAGAGAGAGTAGAAATCAAAATGTATGGGGATGACACTGACAAGTGTCAAAATTTACGTCAATTCCATATAATTTGGTTTTCTATTCTACATGTAGACAAGAGCTAAGTGGCATTTGGCTACAGCTGCTGGTTAGATTGAAATTTGACGAGCCACTTTATTATGTAGGGATTATTATTCTTCTAACGTTGTATTCAAGCTTACAGAAATCAGATTGAGTAGAAGAGTAATAAAATACAAACCTAACAAGAAACTGAAGGCAAATGGCATTTGGGTGTTCAACAATCTCCAGTCCAACACACTTAGTGTTTTTCCTTTTGGCATATCTTCTTTGACTAAAAAAATAAAAATGAAGTCGGTTAAAAATATTATAAACTAGCTGTAGCTTTTTATGTTTAAAACCTCTTTTGTAGCGCGATAAGAAAAATGGTGGTAACGTTGTAAGTTCGCGTTCGCGCTAAAATTCAAAATTCGAAGCCCACGCCTCGCTCGAGCCGGCTCCGCGCTCGCGTCAGCAGTCGCCGCCGAAACGTTGAGTGAGTGGGGCGTATTTGAAAACGCTCCGCGTTCCCGCCAATTTTCTCACGTTTTGATTCGTTGTGGAAACACCCAGGCCTAATCTGTTACACTAGCTGTTTTGCACGCTACTTTGCTTACGTAAACTTGATTAGAACATACATTACGTACTTAGCCGCCTGTTTTTACAGACCCCTCCTAAATTTGATATAACCCTTAACGTAGGTAATATAAGACAAATTAACGACATTTTGGCTTTTACACACAATCATGACAGTTACCATAATGTAAATTTCAAGTCACATTATTTGTATGTAATTTTACTTTCTTTAAGCAAGCCTAAGATGATTGTCTGGTATTGCCAGTTTATAGTGAAGATCCAGAATGCTGGATTTGAAATTAAAAATATGAAGTATACATACATTTCACAGTAAAATTAGAAAAGAAGCTTTTGTCTCGGGGTAAAAGGAACATCGCAAACCCAACGAACATAGCTAGAGCAGAATCACGAATGCTGCAAAGAAAATAATGTAAATCACTACATAGTATAAAACAAAGTCGCTTTCTCTGTCCCTACGTCCCATTGTATGCTTAAATATTTGAAACTACGCAACGGATTTTGATGAGATTTTTTTAATAGATAGAGTGATTTAAGAGGAAGCTTTATACGTATAATACATGCATATTGCACTCGTGCGAAGCCGGAGCGGGTCGCTAGTAATTCTTATATAAGCTACGTTTAAAAAACCAACTTCAATCCCCTCTGTTTTTGAAGTCAGTGTAATAAACACTTTTCTGAAAACCGCATCAAAACTGGTTTAGCCATTCGCGAAATAGTCGTGCACAAACATATATAGTAGTACAAACATACAGGAGGTCAAATTGGGAAGCTTTTTTGAAGTCGTCCCCAAGCGGTCACCGGTGACCGCTGTCCACTAACTACATTATAGACCTTATTTCCAATGTTTAGAGACTACTTTTGTAAAAACAAAATCAAGGGATGAATTTCGACAAGTTATATTACTACTTCTCTGGTTCTATGGATTGCAGTAGATACTGAAAAATATTTTTGAATTTCAAAGACACTTTCTATTCATATAAGATCAAAATAACTATTAGCTTTAATTGGAATTAGATTTATGAATTTATAGTCAATTAACTTCTGCACACGGCTTCGCATACTTTCCAATGGGATAAAAATTAGTCTATATGTTAATCTAGACCATATATTACCCCTGTTCCAAATTTTATCTCGAACCCTTTAGCCGTTATGACGTGATTGTGTAATAAACATGCACACAAACATACAAATTCACAAACATTCGCATTTATACAAGATGTTGTTTTAAAGACGCGTCATTTTCTAGGAGGTAACTCGGGTATCGATTCTGAGTCCGAATCAAAAAAAAAAATTTTTTTCTGAAATTACTGAAATCCGTAAGTGCGAACTACACGCCGCCGTCTTATAACTGGTTTTTATAACGCGGCTTAACACACACAAACTCAAACACGTAATTGATATTATTCCTAATTCCATAAAACTCCAATAAGAAACATTGCTGTCGCTCATACTGAAATACTGTCGAACTTAAACGATTAATTATAACCGTATTTTTAACTATTGGCCCGAAACTTTCTCTTACTTTGAACCTATATGACTTCTGTGACATGCCCCCGAGAAATGACACGACTTCAAAACTACACCTTGTATATTTACTAAGAGATAGTTACATAACACTATCGATACAAATCAGCGTAACTACAGATGTCTGTTTGAATTCGGGTGGAATATTCTTATTAAAAAAAAGGTATTTCATAGCACTTAAAAGATTTTCTCTTAAATAAAAAATAATCTAAACGTACAATTTTGGATCCTTGATCCCAAAGTATTCATTAATCATGTCGCCCCAACCTATAAAGAGTTGTGGTGAACGGGAGAAGAATGATATCATGGCACCACCGAACAAAAAACAAACCATCTGCAAAATAAAATTATAACATTATCTATATATTCTATATAAAAGAAAGTCGTGTTAGTTACACCACTTATAACTCAAGAACGGCAGAATAGATTTGGCAGAAAATTGGTAGGGAGGTAGCTTAGAGCCAGGAGACCGACATAGGATACTTTTTAACCAATATTTTTTTTTTTACCGAAAATCACGAACGGGGACGGGAAAAAATGGAATTACGCGTACGATGTCGCGGGCAGACGCTAGTTTTAACTAAAACTCGCGGGTTTCTCACGTGAATATACTGAGAAGAGGGGTTCTTCCTCATGAGCAGCGTGCGCGGTCGCGCCGATGACGCGCAGCCGACTGCCTAACTACTACGGCTACGGCGATTTTTAGTTAATTTAGTATGCCTTACGATGGTTATTATAAAAATATAACATCTTTATATATATAATCCTTCTGTGAGTGTGTATGTCACTGAACTTCTCTCAAACGACTGGACCGATTTTGATGAATTTTTTTGTGTGTGTGTTCAAGGGGATCTGGGAATGGTTTAGATTCATAAATCAGCCCGGCAGATGGCGTTCCAGTCGATGTTTAGGTTATTTATCCTAAGCAGCTGAACTAATTTGAATGAATTTTTGTTTATACATTCAAGTGGATATGCAGGACAACGTCTGTTGGGTCCGCTAGTTTTATGTAATCAAGTAAATTTTACCGTCCTAAACGTTTTAGCTTCAAAAATATACAATAAAATCCCAAATGACATAAAACATTTTAATATTAGTATATTCAAAAATAAATTAAAATCAATTTTATCCAAGAAATGTTGTTATCATGTAAACGACTTCTTTAATGACGGTAATTTGTAGGACATTTATAAGTTTAACTTTTATTTATTTAAGCACTGACATTTTAATGTATTATACTATGACATTTTTATTTTATTTTTTTGTTATATTACCTTTATTGACTTAAGACAATATTTCATACGCCTGTGAGGGCAAATTTTGGTTTTGATTTTGATTTTGATTTTGATTTTGATTTTGATTTTGATTTTGATTTTGATTTTGATTTTGATTTTGATTTTGATTTTGATTTTGATTTTGATTTTGATTTTGATTTTGATTTTGATTTTGATTTTGATTTTGATTTTGATTTTGATTTTGATTTTGATTTTGATTTTGATTTTGATTTTGATTTTGATTTTGATTTTGATTTTGATTTTGATTTTGATTTTGATTTTGATTTTGATTTTGATTTTGATTTTGATTTTGATTTTGATTTTGATTTTGATTTTGATTTTGATTTTGATTTTGATTTTGATTTTGATTTTGATTTTGATTTTGATTTTGATTTGATTTTGATTTTGATTTTGATTTTGATTTTGATTTTGATTTTGATTTTGATTTTGATTTTGATTTTGATTTTGATTTTGATTTTGATTTTGATTTTGATTTTGATTTTGATTTTGATTTTGATTTTGATTTTGATTTTGATTTTGATTTTGATTTTGATTTTGATTTTGATTTTGATTTTGATTTTGATTTTGATTTTGATTTTGATTTTGACTTTGACTTTATCATTTCATGTACACCATACAGCAGACAATATTACAGAGGATAACACATTAAAAGCATGAGGTACATAAGTCGTTTTAGTATAACACGGTATCTTAATTATTTATTAATAATAATAAGACATTGGGCATTATGATTGTTATCATGACCCAGACTACGTACTAATAAAACAACTTTTTACGCCTCATAACCGTTGTCGGCTTTTAAACTTTTCCTGGATGTCCACAAATAATTCAGACGTTCTTGGATTATAGCAAGACTAATGAACAACAATTTTTATATAATTCTAGTTATTGCCTGCGACTTCTATAGGGAATCTATGGCGTAACACGTCGATGGTTTAATTTAATAACGTAGATCCCAATAATAGGCTATTTGGGTCTTACTACATAACATCACGCCTTTTATCCCCGAAGGGGTAGGCAGAGGTGCACATTATACCACTGTACAATTTAACACCCACTTTTTCACTATTTATGTTATGAGTCCCATGTAATAGGAGGTGAGCCTATTGCCATATACACGCCACATTTCCAGACTCCGTGTTACTACTAAGACTACTTTGCTCGACCCGGGAATCGAACCCGAGACCCCTTGCCCGGCACTCGCACTTGCTACCACTCAGCCAACGAGGCAGTTTTTGGGCAGGCAGTATTTTCTTGGGTCTTACTATGTATGGTGAAAATATAGTAGTTATAGCAACTTACCCCCTCCCAGTAAGATATTGAACCTCTTTTTTTAACATCGGCTTGAATAGAAGCCTTTGCAGCATTTTGTGCGACTAATGGTATTATTGATTTTTTTTGTGCTTCACTACCCGGCCTGCAATCGACTATTTAAATTAAACAATTTAAGAAAGTATTATAAAAGACAATGACAAAATTAACTAAAAATCGCGGGTTACTCACGTGAATATACTGAGGCGATGTCGCGCAGCCTACTGCTCCGCCATCGCCGCGACCGCGCACGCTGCTCATGAGGTTTAGGTAGTAGAGCTTTTCTCAGTATATTCACGTGAGTAACCCGCGATTTTTCGTTAATTTGGTATGTCTCACGATAGTTATTATAAAAACAATGACAACGTTTTTTATAGTGTAAATTTTTGTTACTTTAAGAAAGGTGCTTTTGGGAATCATTAGGTTTCCTACAAACTGATTCAGTAGCATGCATGATGCATGGCTGACTCAGTAGCCGCGGAAGGCCTTACGGGTCGCCGGGGTTCCGGCTCGAAGAGCAGTAGGAACGGGGTGGTTTTTATTCAGTAAGAGTCTGACACTCCCTCTCGCCTAATTCAAGGCGAGAGAAGTAAATGGATGAACCAGCCTCAAAAAAAGAAAGAATAATAAATCGCAGTTATGATTCCCGCACGGTACAATAAAATTCTTTGTGTGATCCATAAATTGTTTCAGGTCTGAGTGTGTTATACCTACGTCCTACATATATGTTAAATTGTATGTATTTTGAAAATTCTTTAAAGCCACTTGGGAAAATTCTATAAGTATACGGCAACTATATTAAAAAATAACAATTCATACCTTAAGAATCCGAAATACGAGACAATCATGTATATATAAACCAATGATTCTAACACAATCATATATGGAACAGCAAACATCGAAAATTTCGGGAACGACAAATACTCTGGAGCCTCTTGATACGATCTGAAATATAAAGACGAAAATATATTTTTAATGTTTTGATGTTCAGGTCGCAAGCAACAGTGCTGGAACAAGTAAAGCTACATCAGTTATTTCAAAATGCCTCGTTGACTGCCTCGTTGGCCGAGTGGTCACAAGTGCGACTGCCGGGCAAGGGGTCTCGGGTTCGATTCCCGGGTCGAGTAGTATTACTGGGTTTTTAAAAAAAAATCTCAGTAGTAGCACGGAGTCTGGAATTATGTCCGGTATATGGCAATAGGCTCACCCCCTATTACATGGGACCCATGACATAAATCGTGAAAAGTGGGTGTTACATTGTACAGTGGTATAATGTACACCTCTGCCTACCCCTTCGGGGATAAAAGGCGTGATGTTACGTTTTAGAATTATCATTGAATTTCTGTAGAAAACGGTTCTTTAATTAACGATTTTATTTAGCTTGCCCCGTTGGTTTGTTTGGGTCAAATTTAGTCATTGGAATTTCACTCCCTTTCTGGCGATAAATTGATGTAATATTTGGTACACACTCTTAATCTTGATCTACATCTACACTAATATTATGAAGAGGAAAGATTAGATTTTTTGTTTGTTTGTTTGAATTGAATAGGCTCCAAAACTACCGGACTAATTAGAAAAAATATAATAATTTTTCTACATTGGAATTCTACATTAGCCCTGATCAACTAAGGCTATATTTATTATAAGAAAATTGAAAAGAACCGTTTGAAAATTTCGATAATGTAACTCAACGTGTAAAAAAACTACCAAAACACTCCTTTTTTTATAGCATAGCCGGTAAACGAGCTGACGGTAATCCGTCTGCCTGATGGTAAGCAATCGGCGCCGCCTATGGACCCTCGAAACACCAAGGCGTTACAAGTACTGGCCTTTTGGGAATTGGGGATTTGAGGTTTGTGGAGGATTCGGGAGACGGGAAATAGGGAGGGGGTTAATTGGGCCTCCGGTAACCTCATTCACACGACGAAACACAACGCAAGCGTTGTTTCACGTCGGTTTTCTGAGAGACCGTGGTATCACTCCGGTCGAGCCGGCCCATTTGGGCCGAAGCATGGCTCTACCACACTTGAACTCCTTATATTGCTTAAGCCCTTCACTGCCAATAGAATTCTGTTTACAAGGACTAAAAATAATATTTAGCTGCGTCAGGATCAGGGATTTTAAAGAAAAAGTATAAATTCAATTAACTGAATACATTTTATTCATGGACTAGCTTTTGCCCACGGTTTCGTTCGCGCTCTATTAAAGTATCGGTGGTAGGTGATAAAAAAGAAATGGTGCATAATTATTTGCTCATCACAAAGATGATAACAATTTTTAACTTCTACCTTGAAAATTATGATATGATCCATACAAAGTAAGTGGTGGGTTATTAAGAGACAAAGTAGCCTCTTACTCCTAATTCCCATGTTATTCCTATGCGATTTGGTACACAGTATTCGAATTAACCTTGGAAAAGTCTAAATAAAAAATCTAAGTCATTATTATACACGGACGACGACGCCGGGAACGAGAATGGCTAGTAATGTAGTTTTTTTTTTTGGCAACGTAAGAGGTATTATATCCTTTATGGATCAATATGTAGAATATTTGTATGTATTACTTAATCTACATATATTGGTTTCCTTTTTACTTACTGCATAAATAGTCCTTTGAACACTAAATTTGTTCCTGTACCCACTAAAGTGCCAATGCCACCTGTAAAGATATAATTAGTATAATGATTAATCAAAACAGCTTGTGTAGTAAGTACACTACGCTCTATTATATAGGTAAAGAAGAAACACTTTCTTAAATAATATTGAATCATTATAGAAAATGTTCAGATTGCAGGGAATAATGCGAAAGGCATGTTATAGGCAAACCGAGGGTAAGTTGATTTGCGATGGATCGGAATTTAAGGAGATCATTTTGTTGGGTATTTTCTGATAGGTCAACCTAAAAACTGCGACGTATCTACAGAAATAGCTATTAGGGGCAATAGTTAATTATGACAGTTTTAATGAGTAGCAGAGAGCTCAAGACGAGATTGAGTGCTGTAGTGAAACCTCTTCGATTGACGTGAAATCATAATGATTCGTTTTGTAGTAAATCGAAGTCCCATATACAGTTCCGACAAATTTAATAATAGCTTACCAACAGTTGCTGAAAAAGTAGCTGCACAAAAATAGCAACAAGTAGTATCACTTGCGACCAGTTCACCGTCAGAGTTCTTGTCAAAAACTTTGATTACTTTTTGCTGTAAACAAGCAACGCATCTTGTTATTAGGGTACCATGTTTTATAAGGATAGAAGAATATCAAGAACTCTTCGCTAGGTAAGACAGTGATACGCTCGCTGACCCGGGCTCACAATAGCCGGAGATCGTTTCGCGTTCACCGACGCTTCGTGTTTCTCGTGCAGCCGGTGGCTGGAATGTGATGAAGTTACTACCCACACAGACTCCGTCGCCTTAGCTAGCATAACTGCTTATCGGGAGGAGACAATTTCTTTTCCGCAAAGTCCTTTCACACTGCGCACATAAAATGTTACAAAATATTTCCTGTTTGCTTTTACAAAATTTTAGACCGACGAGACTATAGACTGAAAACTAAATAATAGTATACGTATAATACTCACTTCTTCAAATACTCTCAATATGGCAAAATTGATAGGAACCATCATAGTTGTGGCTGCAGTATTGGTAATCCACATAGAAGCAAAGGTTGTGACACAACACATAGCCAAAAGTAATCTACGTGGAAATAAATACATAAAAAAATATTAGTCGTCTCTTTAGCAGAAAAAAAAATAGAAATAATAGTATGAATATTAAAATACTGGCCAAGGGTGAGTTGGATTCGATTCGAATGGTCTAACTTCTTATAATATGGTTAATTGAATACAGCCTGGTGGCAATTAGACAGTAACATGGTTCATGTTTTATCCCATGTGTATGGGACTCTAATAATACAATTATTGCTTACAAACGAATTAAAACGAAATAACATAAAATCACGCCTTTTATCCCCGAAGGGGTAGACAGAGGTGCACATTATGCCACTGTACAGTGTAACACCCACTATTATGTTATGAGTCCCATGTAATAGGGGGTGAGCCTAGTGTCATACACCGGGCATAATTCCAGACTCCGTGCTACTACTGAGATTTTTTTTAAAACTAAGTAATAATTTGCCCGACACGGGAATCAAACCCGAGACCCCTTGCCCGACAATGAGGCAGCCAGAATTAAAAAGAAATTACAAAAAAACTTACTTTAGATGTGAGTAACCTATAAGTTGTATGGAGAAGTAAGCCAGCCGTTTATGAAAGCCAGATTGTTCAACAGAATAGGCTAAAATCAAGCTTCCTATAAACATCATCACAGAGTCCTATAAAGAAAATACCAATACCATTAATATAGTTCTGCAAGTGGGAAAAATCATCGAATGACTGCTCCCGCCTGGGTGAGGCGGGCCGCGGGAGGGAGTGTCAGACTCTTACTGACTAAAAACCACCCCGTTCCTTCTCCTGCACGTCGAGCCGGAGCCCCGGTTACCCGTTAGGTTCTCCGCGACATCTTGACAATCTTGGTCTAGAACACCCCTAAAATCCATGGGTCAAAATCATAATAAGGTACATACAAGAAGTTTTCTTTCGCAAATCATGGGTGAAAAGTAAGCAGCATTACGGCAGAGTAGAATTTTGTCAATGCAGCAGTATCTGGCAAACCTGAACTGTTTATACTGTGGGTCCCATGTAATAGAGGGTGAGCCTATTGCCATATACCGGGCGCAATTCCAGACTCCGTGCTATTACTGAGAATTTTTAAAATCCAGTAATACTTTGACCGACCCGGAAATCGAACCCGATACCCCTTGCCTGGCAGTCGCACTTGCGATCACTCGGCCAACGAGGCAGAGAACCGTTTGTCAGTGATGTCTAAATAATCTTAGAAAGTACTTTTCGGAAAAAGTCACATTGGTACTCGCTATTGGTAGATTTTGAACCCGCACACTAATGCATGAGAAGCAGGCCTCTTAGATTTACGGGCCACCTTTATAGCTGTTCATATAAAAGGTGTATGTTTTATACTTACGTTCATATAAGCCGTGCAGCATTCTCTTGTATTCATTACGTCCGTCAATGGGAATATCACGATCGGTAGGAATGATGTAACCGCCAGTGGAATACATTCAGATACCCAGTAAACAGCCATCACGAGCAACGTATAACCGGTCCATTGATATTTCTGGAAATTCACATTCGTCAAATATATGAAAACACCGTGTGGTGATATCGGAGTTATAATTATTGTTTAATAATAGTAGGATAAGTAGTAGAAGTAGTCTTCTACTACTTTTCCTGCGCATTTCATAAGAGCCCTATATCATGATCTCCAAACGAAAATTACAAAAAATCCCTCTTAGAGGACCAAAATCCAGCAGTGGACCGTTATGGGTTGTCGATCTAAAAAAGGAAAACAACAGGGAATCCAATTAATTTTATAAAGGGTGGAAAAATTTTAAAGAAATACAAATGACCAAACATAGGGTGTGTAATCTTTTTTTTTAAAGTGAATTGATTAGTTCGAGACATATTTATGTTACGTAATACGATTAAAATTTATTAATATAGGTAGGTACTTACTTTTATTTTTATCTATACAAAAATTACAAATTAGAAATGACAATATACATTGACAAAATACATTTTTTATCTATAGTTTATTATTATTAATATTACAAATACAAATAACTAAAAAATTTAATATTTACACCTTCAAATTACTTTTAAAAAAATGTTAGCTTATGAAGACAAGGGATCGAAAAATTTTAATTATCGCTATCGTGAGGTAGGGTGCCTAAAAGACTGGCAGCATTGCCACGTTGAATGGCAATGCTTTGCCCTAGGGCAAACCTACCTATACTCGGAATTTTAATTCGATTCCAGATTTGACAATTTCAGTGTGGCAACGTTATGACAAGTACTAAATAGTGACGTTGCGAAATTATTCGATATGGAAATGCAATATTTCTGGATCGAGTCTTCTCGTTTATAAGAATTATATTTTACTCTCGTGAACTAAGTATATCAGGAAATTAAATATTTCTGAACCGATAATTTAGTTTTGACGATTAATTAACGATCTGAGACGTTTCTTTATATAATTGTGTGTGAAATAAATAAAAAATTGTAATCATGAAGGAACATGACAAATAAAACAGATAGATGTATTATGGTAATAAGTTATTTTATAAATTGTCGCCGTCATCGCTATCGCTACCCTGACACTTTCTGTAACATTTATTATAAAACACACACACCGATTGTTTATCGATTTTTGTGTGCATCACTACACTATTAAATGTGGTATCATTATTTCACAAAATGACAGTAGCTATTGTCAAATCTGGAATCTAATTAAAATTCTGACTATAGGTAGTAGCCAGCCTTTCGATCACCTTAAGTTCAACCACCCTCCTTACAATAAGTAGGTATTGGGCCGTGGGGCCCAAGTACACATCTTCACCTTTGTAAAGAAGATGTGTGAACCTAAAGTTTCAACCTCACGGTTCTAAAGTATAATTACCAATCATCAATCCAATATAATTAGATTACATTACAATACAACACAATAGGTACCTACATTGAAACAATTTACAAAAAATAAATAAAAATAGGTAACTCACCGTTGTAGGACCTGGGAACAGTACAAACGTGAAAAATGCTGGTGTGAATACAATTACAACACCTCGCCAATGTGCAATCAAAAAGTATTGTAATTTTTCTGTTGAAGTAAGATATGGCTCGGGTCTAAAACATGAATACTTTGTTAGGGTATAAAATATTTTACAGAAACAATCAACTGACATGTAATTATTATTTATAACTTACTTCTCTTTTTTCATCATCTTCGGTGTTTCTTTATTTGCCTACTTTTATCGAATATTCGTAAATTTCAAGTAAAACGCAAAGAAAGAACTATTTTACTATTTCGTTCTGACGTCTTTGTGTTTAACCCATCAGAAGAATAAAGAATTTTCTTAATTTGAAATTTGAAAAATGTTGCTTTACTTTCACCCAGTACTTCTTTACATAAGAACTTTTTAACAAAAGTATTTCAAAAAGCTGAATGTTTAAGACTAATAACCATAGAGTTTTATAAGTTTTACTACTAGTAGTGTATCATAGCGGCGCGGACGTGCCATTATTGGAGGACCGTAGTTCTGTAGCCCCGGCAACAGGCGGATTGGCGCAGCTAGCTTCAGTTGTCGAAACGCCGGCCGCGTGCTAACACTTCACTCAGTTCCCGCTCGTACTTTGGGCGGTCCGTACTTCGAATCCCGGCGTTCTATCGCGATTCACCTATAAACTTGTATAAAACTTTCGATTTCCATCCAAGTGTTCGTTAGTGACAGTACAAATTGAAATGTAACTTGTTAATGTGTTATATTGTTTAAATATATGTATAATCACCATGAAAGATGACTGGAGTCATTAAATATTCATGATATCTAGTGAGTACTACGAATCTGGCAACGTAACTCGACTGTATCAACAGGTCAGTTTTACTGTAAGGAAAATATTTTAATCTTGCGAATAACTTATATTTTCGATTACATTGAGAGCTTAAGAAAATCCTTTAGCCATTATTTTATTTTGTGTGTAACTGTAAAACCATAGGTTATGGCTTATTCGTGTCCTTAGTGGTGAAAGAACAATTATCTTTACTGACTGATCAGATTCCCGACAGTCTTGTAATTTATTCAATTTATTGTTTTATCTATTATTTTTAAAATAGCTGATCGAAGTTGATCAACATCTCGCCTGATGGTAAGCCATGATGCGGCACGTCTACCCATGAGCAACCTATTAACTCGAGCCTTGAAGACACCCAGTATGTAGTTTAAACTAGTTTACTTTAAAAATATTTCTCTATAATAAATATTTCTATATGACAAAAATTGTACATGCACATGGGTAGACTTCAAGGCGGAGGGCAGATGTTTCATATTGTCTAACATTTTCTTATACTAGAATTTTGTCCTCTATCGTGGATGTTTTAAGGAATAAATTATTTCACATACTCATCACATCCAGGCCTAGCTGGGTGATGAACATACGGTGGACATACGTGGCGCTTAACACGTTTATGAATCTCTGTAGATTTACTTCTGTTTTTGCCCTTATTGAAAAGAACTTACTATTGGTATAAAAATGTTTTTTATATCCAATATTCTCATCATTCGTCATGCTATAAGCCAGTATAGATAGCATCATTAATGTTCAAAAATGCTATTAGTTAGCAGTAAAATGAAACCCAACGAAAAGCAAAGATAATTTTCTCTAAAATATTTATATTTCAAATAAATACAAAATATTATGCTTTAAGAACATTAAAGGTCACCACAAAGTTTTGCAATAAAACAAATAAGAAAAAACGAAAAAATAAAAAATATGACGCTTTATGTAAGAACTAGTAGTGCCCGCGAATTTAATATGATTCCTGTTTTATACCATGGGAGCATTTAATCGGAATACAATATCCTATCACCTAAGTCAGCCCATACCTTGCCTGTATACCAAATTTCGGACAAACATACGAACAAGGAACTTTCTCATTTATAATACATATTAATGTGATTTTTCGCCCAAATTTAAAGGATATATTGTACAAAAAGTGGACCTAAACACAGAAACTCTAATAATAACGATATGCTTACTAGTTTGAACTACACTATTTTTTAGCAAAAATGTTTTGTTACAATTGACCTTTGGATAGATAATTTTAGTCTGCATTATCAATTACTATCATAGTATAACTATTTATTAACTCTACATAATATATTTATTTATTTTATACTTCTGCACATATAGAGGTAGAACATGGCGGACTTGATGCCTAGGGCATTCTCTGCCAGTCTACCTTAGAGTGGTACAGAGACAGGACATGGTAGGTGTATGCACCTACCATGTCCTGTCTACAGCTACAGCTTATGAGCTGTAATGCAAAATGGCTATTAATTAAGCTAAAATACATAATTTATATATATACCGAAAATTTTCGCTAAATAATCTACAGACATTCTATCAGTATAATAAATATTTTTTTTAAACTGGTGACAACATAACCTAGTGATTTGGCAAAGGGACTGCCATTTATCTGCAAACCAAGGGATCGGCAGAAGTTTGACGCCGACATATTTTAAGCCATATTTACTTGGGATCAACAATATTTGCCTCTATAATGGATAAAAGTAAACATATTTTGATTTACTCATATCTACAATTAAGTATTCAACAAATAACATATTACTTGCTTAAACGCCACGGGGGTCACCGGTGACCGACGTTAGCGGAGGATTTACCTTCAACAGTTTTTTATTGGCAGCTAAAACCAATCTGTTAAGTATCAACAACAACAACACCAACAGCCTATAAGTGGCCACTGCTGACCAATGGTCTCTTCTCACACGGAGAAGGTTTGAGCATTAATCACCACGCTTGCCCAATGCGAGTTGGCGATTTCAAACTTATAATTAGAAATTATAAGCATAGGTTTCCTTATGACGTTTTGCTTTACAGTTTGCCAGTGGTGTCTAAATAATCTTAGAAAGAACATATAACTTGGAAATGTCACATTGGTACTTAACAACAACGTTATATTAGTGGGGTTCGAACCCGCGCCCTCATGCACTAGAAGCGGGCGCCTTAAGTAAATGTATTGTAATAATACAATACAACATTTTTAGTTAAATCAACAGTTAAATAGTTTCCTTTATGGTCCGTAACATATTAAAATATCCCTTTTTTAGGAGGGAATAATAATCTCATGACTTCTTCCGCCTTGGGTGAAGCAAGAGGGAGTATTAGAATCTTAGTAACTAAAGATCACCCGGTTCCTACTCCTACTCTTTAAACTGGAGCCCTGGCAACCCATTAAGTCTTCCGCACCTTCGTATTGGGTGTCAGCCCTACTGGGCTCCATCTCTGGTGGCCATCCTATTACCTACCCAAGTATAAAAAAAATTATGAAGGTCTTTATTTGGATTTGGGTATTATAGAGAAGGGGTAGTGAAATGATGTCACCACATGGCTTTTTGTTCAGGGGGGAAAATCCTCGAATAACTTTTCCCGCCACTCCTAATCCTGCCCTTCGAGCCGTAGCCCCGGTAAACCGGTAAACTGGTAAACCGTTAAATTCTCTGCGGCTAAGTATCGGCATCAGCATCAGCCCTATTGGGCCTCAACCGTGGTGGTCTGATGGCTGTTTGAAGCGCGCACGTGTCGATGACATGGCTGAAACAGATTATTATTAAGTACAAATTAAATATTATAAATTCTCTGTGGCAAGGGAAATATAAACCGTCAATTCACCGCTAAAAGCTGTGTAACTTCACAATTGACAAATGGATTACTGATAACGATAACAAAGCCCGCTCTTCTAGTATCAGATGACACATATCAGCTGATCCTATTGATTATATTACCTGATTTAACCGTATCACTTACTGTTTTGACACACAAGCGACTAGCACTAAGGGCGAACGTTAGCGTTGCTACTGAATAAGTGCCTTGGGAATCGATGGGACTTGTTAGGCAGTTCCAGCAACAAGATAGAATGTTCATACAATTACTATCTCGCCAAGGTGGCCACGATAGCAAAAGATTTGCCATTAAAAATGTTCAGTCGGCAGTCAACATTTTAATATACCTCTACCATCTCTACCAACAGTGGCTTTGTTGTTATTTTTTTTAATAAATAAAGCTATAATATTTATAATTACCATTCTATAACTATTATACTGTGTAGCAGTGTTTCTAGTGGAACAGGTTTATCAAATGGAGAGCTCTTAATCCTATTATTCTGAGTAAAAGGCCTTTTTTATGTCGGGGGTAAACCTTCAAAAGGCGCTTAGCTTTTTAGGAAGAAAGACTAGGGAGTATGGGATTCGTACCTCACTAAAACCACCCCGGTGGCCACCTCGGCACCTGTAAGGGGCACCGGGTCCTCTGAAGAGACCTGCTTCGAAGCCCCCACGGTGCAACGCCTGATACAACACATCCCTAGGGAGACCTGCATGTCTCTTGATCATCGCTTTGCACGGCAGCACGCGACCACTATACTACCGTCTTCCCTCTTCCCTGAGTATAGGCATGCAGTCATGGAAAATGTTCACTTCTCAGTCACAGAAAATCGTCAATTTATACCTTACACAATCAACACTACTAGCCCAAACGAGTAAACAAACTAGAATATGGGCCTTCTGTACCTAAGAAGAGGTATCTATAATCTTCACGCTTCTGACTGTTATAATGTGGACTACTGGATACGGGCTACATCCTTCCATCGGCGCCCACTAAACGCGCGAGAAGTTTAGACATAGTGATGTTATATTGTAAATGTTTTTTATGACTGCCTCGATGCCCGAGTGGTGGCAAGTGCGATTACCGGGCAAGGGGTCTCAGGTCCGATTCCCGGGTCGGGCAAAGTATTACTGGGTTTTCTAAAATAAATCTCAGTAGTAGCACGGAGTCTGGAAATGTGCCCGGTATATGGCAATAGGCTCACCCCCTATTACATGGGACTCATAACATAAATAGTGAAAAGTGGGTGTTACTTCTGTATACACCTCTGCCTACCCCTTCGGGGGTAAAAGGCGTGATGTTATGCTATGGTCTGATATGTCGTCACCACGCAGAAGTTTTATCTTCATAGCTTACTTCAAAGGTGCGCGTCTCTGATATACAATAAAATAATTCGTTATCATTACACACTTTTATATATATTATGTTCTAGAGAATACTATTAGTTCATTATAGTCCACATGTTGAAGACATTATGGAACCTAGCCAAATAAATGGAAACGCACCGATCTGTGATGTTGTATCATTACATTAGTCACCCTGT